AGTAGGATGAAACCCATTGGAAAAGGAGGGGAATATAATAAAAATTAAAGGAAAAATAAATTACGGGCGATCTGAGTTCGGGAAGTGGGAGGGGGGGGTTTTAAGGGTAAAAAATGGTTTATCTCGATTTCCGGCAAAACTACAAGTCCTATGGAAAAAAGTTTAATGTCAAAGTTGTAGGTAATAAAAAGATCTACAACTTTTGTAATTACAATTTTTTTAAATAACCTCAAAATTTATGTGAAAAATTCAAAAAACCAAGTTTTTTGTTTTTTATTTTTATCTTTTTCAAAAAAAAAAATTTTCCACGAAATTTGGTGAAAACTTACCTTTCTATGTCCCAAATACACTGTAATTTATTTGATTTGAAATATTTATTATTTCGCCATATTTTGACTTAATATCAAAAAAGCACCCTAATTTTCAATCGAAAATTCTCGCGTCAAAATATCAGCTTTTTTCAAAAAGTCGGTGTGCTTTTTGTTCGATGAACTCTCTACTTTCTGATGGTGTAAAAAAATATACATTACTATGGTAAATGTTCTCAGAAAATACAAAAAATATTATAATGAATAACGTAATCAGATTGAAGTATCTAAATTCAATAGTATGATTTACATGTATTTTTATATGTTATGAGATTTTCTGACATAAATGTTATTAGAATTTAATAAATAAACTTTTTAACTAAAAAAAATTGCAACAATCACATTTTTTTGATGAAATTGTACATAATGATTAAAATAAATTTTCGAATTCGAGTTTTTTTCGTTATTCATTATAATATTTTTTGCATTTTCTGAGAACATTTACCATAGTAATGTATATTTTTTTACACCATCAGAAAGTAGAGATTTCAACGAACAAAAAGCACACCGACTTTTTGAAAAAAGCTGATATTTTGACGCGAGAATTTTCGATTGAAAATTAGGTTGCTTTTTTGATATTAAGTCAAAATAAGGCGAAACATTACAGTGTATTTGGGACATAAAAAGGTAAGTTTTCACCAAATTTCGTGGAAATTTTGTAAAAGATAAAAATAAAAAACCAAAAACTTGGTTTTTTGAATTTTTCACATAAATTTTGAGGTTATTTAAAAAAAATTGTAATTATAAAAGTTGTAGATCCTTTTATTACCTACAACTTTGCTATTTAACTTTTTTCCATAGGACTAGTAGTTTTGCCGGAAATCGAGATAAACCATTTTTTACCCTTAAACCCCCCCCTCCCACTTCCCGAAGTCAGATAGCCCGTAATTTATTTTTCCTTTCATTTTTATTATATTCTTCTCCTTTTTCAATGGGTTTCATCCTACTGTAATTTTTTTTGGTTTTAAAAATTATCGACCCTGGTCTAATTATCATTTGTCAAATTATAAAAAAATTGCATTCCATTAAATATAAGCATATATTTATTCTCAGGTTAATAATTTTGGGTTTTTAATACATATAAAGTGATTTTTTTTGTATTTAAGAAAAAAAAACATGATTTTAAACAGTCTGAAGAAGATGCTCGATATCTTTGAAACGGCTTGACTTACGCAAAATGTCAATCAGACCTTTTTTGTAGAGTATTAAATTTTCAATAAGGGATAATTTCTAACTTATGACGTAGCTCGTTATCACGTTACAAAATTCCAAAGTTTGAAAAAAAATTTCTCGATTTTTATGTAAGAATGTCATATTCTCGCACGCAAAATCGTTGAAGAATGAAGCTCATTCTTAAACGATTTTTGGTAACATTTAGTTTTTAAGTATTGGTACCCCCAAAATGTCAAACTGATTAATAACCTCAAATTCATTACTTTTATTGAAAATGAAGCCTTTATTATTGTTTTGTAATATAAAGTTTGCTCCAACAATGCATTTTAATGCAAAATTTTAAGTTTAATGTGTAAAAGTGCAGTTCAGGTTGTACTTGTGCAGGATAACAAATATTGTCATTTTGTGTTGCCAACTGACATTTTGCGAGAAAAATCCCCTAACTAACAACGACCACAAAACAATTAAAAAAACCTAAATAAAAGTTAAAATCGAGAAAATAGTATAAATCACACGTTGCAGAAGGCTATTCTCGCACTCATTCGTTCGTCCACTCGCTCCTTCGTCGCTCGAGGCCAAATTTCGAATTCGTGCGAGAATATGTGGCCTTCTGCAACTTGTACTTTAATATACTATTCCCATATTATTTAAATTGGAAATAGAAAATTACAAAACGCCACCTCTAAATATTAATATTAAGAGCTCATATTTTCACAGGGTCGTTTTCTAGAGATACGCGATTTGAAAAAAAATAGTCGTTTTTTTAGACACTCTAAGGTATATCTGTAAAAAATTAATAAATTAATAAAAAAATTATAATTCATTATTATAATACATTTTTATAATATTTAACTATATATTGAATGAATAATTAATTAATTTACTTATAATATATTTATATTATAATTCATTAAATTTTAATTGGAACATCCCCAGCAAAGATTATTATTAAACATTTCTCGTATTATTTATAAAACATTTTTAATTAATTTAAAAAGAAATGCGGGTAAACAATAATTATTCTCATTTCTAGAGGCATATAAATAGACTGCATTTCCTAGTAGACTTTATCACCAACTAAAGATGGTAAATACCGTTATAAAAAAAATGTAATAATGAGTTCAATAACAATAAATATACATGTTGTTTTGTTTTGATTTACCACAATAATAATTTCACCAGACATTTTATTTTTATTAGCACTACAAAGACTTGGAGTCCAGACATTGGGAAGAACATTTAAATAAAGATATGTTGACATTACCACTGACCCCTTTAATTTAAATATATTATAATTATTATAAGTATAAATAAAAGAACGATTATTAAAAAATAATTGGGTAACAATTTTATGCATCAAAATTGTTAACATTAAATATACAGTATGTTTTTTGAATCACAACCATTTTTTTTTACTTGGGTTTTATCTAAATTATTTGTTTACAGTCTAAAACAATTTTTAGAACAACATTTAGAAATATTTTAATTAAATGCTTTAAAAAAAATTATATTAAACCCTACCTAAATGACATTTTAATGACACATAGTCATTGATATACCTACTACACTTACAGGCAAAATAATCGATCCACACAAATTTTCGATGAATTTCAATCGCAAATAACATTTTTATTTGATGTCGGATTTAATCGAATATTAAAAAATATTGTAGATAAATTAATAGAGAATGGCTCACATTTTAAAAAAATTACTAAAAAATAGATGTAAGTTTATAATATACAGGTTTAAACAAAAATAAGTTTTTTATCATAAGTTTAAGACACTCTGTAGAGTGTATAAACCGTATATTGTTCTAAATTAAGTTTTAATTATCAAGTCACATCTATTCTTAACAGTTTTGTTTTACCTCGATATATTTATTTTTGTAAATATGTATTTTTTTTAAAAACATTGCAATTTCCAATATTTTTTTGTACAAAGAACTAAGGTTGCTATGGTCCATCCATAGGCTATGGAGGATGACAGCGACAGTTTTGTTGAATCATCCCATACTTGGGCATGTCATATACGGCTTTTAAAAGCTATCAAATTGTTTTGCAAATTAATGTTTAACTTTTGAGACGTCTTCTTACTTTTAAAAATGGATATATCTCCGACTGATGTTGCCAGAGCCATTGCTTTAATTCAGGATGGACGGTCACAGTATTATGTGGCAAGTGTTTTAAACGTCACAAGGAGTACAAAGGGCAACATCAGTCGGAGACATACACATTTTTAAAAGTAAGAGGACACCTCAAAATTAATACATTAATTTATAAAAACAATTTGATAGTTTTGAAGGCCGTATATGACATGTCCAAGTATGATGATTCAACAAAACTGTCACTGTCATCCTCCATAGGCTATGGATGGACCATAGCAACCTTAGTTCTTTGTACAGAAAAAATATTGGAAATTGCAATGTTTTTTTAAAAATCAATATTTTCCATCTAAATAAATATATAGAGGTGAACCAAAAACAAAACTGTTAAAAATAGATGTGGCTGAATAATTTAGAACAATATACGGTTTTGCCACTCTACAGAGTGTCTTAAACTTATGGTAAAAACATATTTTTGTTTAAACCTGTATATTATGAACGTAATTTTTAAAATGTGAGCGATTCTACAATATTCTTTAATATTTGTTTAAATCCGAAATCAAATAAAAAAGTTATATGTGATTGAAATTAATCGGAATTTGTGTGGATCGATTATTTTGCCTGTGAGTGTATTTTGTGAAGCAATTTAAAAAATTGTAACCACCCTATAAAAAATAGAAAGGACGACAACTAAAAACAACTAATCTTGAAAATTAATGCCCGATGATTAATTAAATTAACAAACAAATACTTCGAAAACAAATTTTATCAGCATAGCACTAGAGACACAAGAAAATTATCACAAAATAACAATTTATTATTTGTAATTAATTAGTTACATTGATTACATATAAGCGTGTGTGGCATTCTGTGTCCCCAAATATATAAAAGGGGGCAACCAATAAACATTTTTAATTACCAAAAAATGATAAGGCCTGTTGATAAATTATGTTGATTGACACAAACCAGTTTGGCCGCTGTACATTAAATTATCTTTGTTTAGTTTTTGTTGTTTTTGGAATACAAATTATATTTTATTCATACATACAAATATGTAACTCTTTATCTGGGTACCTCTTGTTAATTTAAAATTACAAAAGCGTTTATTACAAATATTTGTTTGTTAATAGGTTTCTAACAAAACAAGAGGTTTATCTTAGGCTTTGAAAACATTTAAGTTTGTTTAAACAAAAATTGAGTTCACTTTAATTTGGTGATGCAACAATTAATCGTATTATTGGCCACCAAGATCACCAGACCTCACACAATCGAATTATGTGTTTTAAATTTTGATATTATTTTTTGTTACATGTGATTTTATAAATAAAATTATAAAATTGAAAAAACTTTTTTTTCAGGAATATTACGGCAATATTCAGCTCCAACATGGTCTGTAATAAGCAAAGTATATGCACCTCTGGACAAATGCGAAAGAATTTTTATGAAAATGAACAATATTTCCAATTTGACAACGCAGGTAATAAATTTAATTAAAAATCAGATTTTGTGCCGCCAGTGTTTAAATTAAAAAAAAAAATTAATAACAAACTAACAAATATTAGATTTAACTAAATTAGTATTAAAACCTAAATATAATGGTCGTTAAACTGATTATTATTGAATAATTGTACTTTTAAGTTTCTTGACTTTTAATTTAATTATTATTGTCAAATATTTATACTAAATAAAACTTGAATTTATTTGTGGACGATTAAAAGCTGACCAAACTTTCCTAGCCTAATCTAATTTCCTTATTATTTTTAGTCTATTCAAATAAATAACATGTTTATGTTTAGTAGTAGGTTAGTTTGTTTGTTGAAGCAATATGCCAAATTAATAATTTGTTTTGGTCTACAAAATTAAAGCAATATTCTATTGTTAAAACTACTAAGGCTTCCAGCCCAAAAGTCATAAAAAAACCTGGAGTGCTTACAAATTTGTACAACAAGCTTGAATGAAAATTATCTGGTTCATTTTCAAGCACAATCGGAATTTAAGGAGAATACATGGTGTTTCACATTCGTGGCCCATTAGAGGTTTTTGTGGAACGGAAAAAGATATCGATTTGAAATTTTAATAGCATTTTTAATCCATTTAATCTATTTTTCTAAAAAATTTAGAACAAAATGCCGGAAGTGACATCAACTTTTTTATTTCAAATAGAACACCCTATATATTTTTACATTTTAAATTCTTCATAAATTCTGAGTAAAATTACTATACCATGTCCTATACCTAAAGTGAATAGTTTTCGAGTCATTAAGTTTTTTCGTTAAAATTTGAGAAATGCGATCCAATCAAAAATAGCCTATAACTTTTTTGTTTGAAAATATGGAGGTGAAATTTTTGGAATCTCATACATTGTTTAAAAGATTACCTGTCATTGTTCAAAATTTAATGGCGTCAATTTTTCAGGTTGTTATAAAAAATTTGTTGACTAAATTAGTTTTTTGTAAAAAAATTACTGATTAAAAATAGCAGTCAGCGACGAGGCAAACATTTTTAAAATCTAAAAGTAATACAAACAGTATTTACTAATTAAAAAAAAATTAACAAAGCTGTATGATGTCAACTAGTACTAGCTCAACAAAAATAATAAAGAATATAATTTATTTTTTCTACTCCCACCTTTAAAACGCCCTTTATCGTACATGTTTCCATGACACTAAGTGACCTTTTAAATACACATTGATAAGTTTACGGCGCTTTAGTCACGGGCTGAAGTTAGCAACAGGTTTTTAGTCACGGGCTGAAGTTAGTTTTAAGTTAAGTTGACAGTCAAATGTCATACAATCGTTAAAATAAAGTGCCTTTCTTGTAAAATAATACTAAATGTGAAAAATATTTTATTATCTCAATACAAAAATACAAAAATATTAAATAGTTACTTAACGCCAATATTTGAAAAGTTTATATGAACATTGTACTGACCTTTTAATTTCGCCGGCAGTAAACTATAACTTAAATTCGGGCACGGACTCCACTGTAAAGTCCTTATAAAACATTTCCTTTATTTTCACTGTGAAAAACTGTCAATTTTCAAGATACATTTCGATTTATAACCTTTATCATTGTGTTTATAAAATGTAAAATGTGAATCTGAATGTGACATTTGACAGTTTCCCCTGTTGTTTCATAGGAGGCGCTCTATACAAATTTTTGATTTAAATCATTTTAAGATAATAATAAGTATTTGTCGTAGTATAGTATGCACCTCGTTTATAAACTTTTCTATACACTCATTAACTTAAGCACTCGCTCGCAATCTCGCTCGTGCCTAAATTAAATTCGTGTATAAAATGGCGTTTATCAAACTTGATATATACTATTTTCTACTCCCACCTTTAAAACGCCCTTAATCGTATATCTTTCCATGACACTAAGTGACCTTTTAAATACACATTGACAAGTTGTGGCTTTATGGGCTGAAGTTAGTTTTAAGTTAGTTGACAGTTGTCAAATGTCATACAATCGTTAAAATAAAGTAACTTTCTTGTAAAATAATAATAAATGTGAAAATTATTTTATTATCTCAATACAAAAATACAAAAGTATTAAATAGTTTCTCAGCGCCAATATTTGAAAAGTTTATATGAAAATTGTACTGACATTTTAATTTCGCCGGCAGTAAACTATAACTTTAATTCGGGCACGAACTCCACTGTAAAGTGCTCATAAAACATTTTCTTTACTTTCACTGTGAAAAACTCAATTTTCAAGAAATACATTTCGATTTATAACCTTTATAATCTGTTTATAAAATACAAAAATTTGACATTTAACGGTGACACACAGATTCCCCTATTGTTTCATAGATAGCGCTCTATACAAATTTTTGATTTAAATTCTTTTAAGATAATAATAAGTATATAAGTAATAAACCAAGAAAAACAAAGTCTAATGTAGAAGTAAGAATTAAGAAATGTTTGATTTTAAATGGGGGATACTTCAAAAATTTATTAACAAATTAGTAATAAAAATTGTTAATTAAAATATTGGTGGTTAGGCATTCTTTTTGTTTTTAAAATATTTCATAAAATAAATGTTATATTAAATTTAAAATATAAATATATAATATAATATATAAATAAAATTTTTATTGTCTCCGATGAGCTAGTGCTAGTTGACATTCTAGAGCTTTGTTAAGTTTTTTTTCAAAATTAGCAAATACTTTTTGTATAAATTTTAGGTAAAATAGGTAAAATCATAACTATTTTAGGTAGTAAAATTAAAAAAAAAGTTTTTTAGAAATAAGAATTTAGGTAAAATAGATCAAATCAAATTAGGCTCAATGAATTTTTTTTCAAAACGGATTTTATTCCATTACACCTAAAATTATGATTATTGTAGAAAAATAATTAATAAAACTAAAATCCCATCTCTAGTAATATTACAGTAGAAATACCACGTTGCATTAACAACGGTTTCTATCGTGAACCAAAAATGTCAAAGTTAGAAGTGATATTTCCACTGTAATTTTTTAATTTATTATTATTTATAGTAGTATCTATTACATTCTTAAATGTTCAGTAAATGAGTGAACATTTGAAAATAGTATATTAAAGAACTAATGTCATAAGACGTCATTTTTTCGTACGCGGACAATTTAAAACGAGTGCGACAAAAGGTCTTATGACATGAGTTCTTTATGCTATTTTATCTATTTTGCAAAAATTCTATAAAAAAAATTAATTTTATACTTTAAATTTAATTTTGTCGAATTTTACTTTAGATAGTTGGTATCACAGTCATTGTTTGACAGTTAATGTCAAAATCGGTTCGCCATGCCGTCCTTCATTTACTTATTTACAATAAGCGGCTGTTAATGTTAAAGAAGAAAAAAAGGATTTTTTTTTAGTGTTAAACAAAATTTATTGCCAGAAAAGTCTCGTAAATACTAGAAAAATTATAAAAATATTATAACCAATACCTATGCAAAATATTATGCTGTTTGAAGTATAGCCAACCTATAAAATCAAAATTTTGGGTGGGATAAAGTATCTCATTACAGCCCCAAAAGCGGTGTTATAATGAAGTCATTATGAACGCAAAATAGTTGAAATAAAATCTGAACTCTGATAAAAAAATTAGTAGACCTGTGAAAATAATCCCGGCGCATTCGCCATTTTTTGCAAGAATTTTTGTCAACCAACTTTAAATTGGATTTATAACCAGTAAACGTTTAAACTTTATTTAAAAAGCATAAAACCATAACTACATCGTCAAAAGTACAAAAACATTTTTTTCCAGCTGGTTTTCTTCATGATGTGCGACCGAGTGCTCCTCTGCAGCTTCGGCGGTACCAACTGCCCGGAGAAGAAAATAACCGGCCTCTACACCTTGATGTTCTACAACGTCATAGCCTACTGCGTGAGCTACATCAAGGAACTCATCCAGAAGGAGGATTGGAGCATCACAGTAAACATGGCGCCGAATAGCAAGTTAAAGCATGTTGCCATGTCGGCCACCAAAATCGTCTTGGAGTGGACAAAAGCAGTAACTTTCATTATCACCGTGACTTTCATGCTGCTGGTGTTTGGATTGGAGCAAGGGTTGCAACATTACCAGCCCACTTTGCTGTATACTTTGACGACATGGTCGTATTACCTCTGCACTGAGAAGATTTTTGTGGACTTGTTTCTACCACTTTTACTCCTACTAAAACTAAAATCCTTGGAAGCGTTGGAAGCATTTTATGCACCTGTAATACTAAGATACTACACCATAGCACTAGCAACTATTCTAGTCTCTATACTAACATTCTACGGGCAAATTAGATTCACTATATTAGCCTTTTATCTTACCGTGTATCTTAAAACTAAAGATATGGTTTTAAACTGCCTCAAAAACCTCAAAGACGAACAAGCAATGCTAGGAAAATTCAGATACGCAACTGAAGACGAAATAGAAAATTGTGATGACGTGTGTGCTGTGTGTCTTATGCCTATGAAAAGAGCCAGAGTAACACCGTGCCATCATCTATTTCATGCAAGTTGTCTAAGACAGTGCCTAAACAATTGTATGATTTGCCCTATATGCAAACAGGAGTACACTTTTATATATTAGGTTTAGTTGTATAGTTTTCTATTAGGTTTAGATGTTACGTTGAATATTTTTATAACTAAATTTAGCTACTTTGAGATGTAGTTTACAACGATTCTTTGGACAAAATTTTTCTTAATTTTTTTGTCTATTGGGTTATCGTAAATAATACAATTTTTTTAGCCCAAACGTTGAACTTTATGCATATTTAAAGAAAAATATTAAGATTTAAAACGCATTAAATAAAATTATTATTATTGAAAACATTTACAAAGCTAATTTTTGTCTGTTTATTCGCAAAAATCTAATGCGCTACTTGTTAAAAGGTGCCAAGTTTATAAATAATTTTTTGTTTGAAACGTCAGTACTATTTTTGCTGCATCCATTTAAAAATCAGGTATTACCTTTAGTAATATGCAAGATTTTTTTAATTTACTTTCAGAATTATTATTATGCTTATGTATTTGAATTTGCTTTACACAGAAAAAAATTTGGTTTTCACAAAGACGGGTTATAAAAATATTCAACACAGTAAAATATGTATTTATTTTTAATAATGGGAGAATGAATGACTGCTTATAGAATTTTTTTACCTAAATATTAGACTTAGGACTATAATAAATTACATAATTAATAATAGTAAATGTGAATAATATTTTATTACTTTAGGTTTTAAAACAAATTAGTAACTATTTTAAAAACGAACCATAAATAAAGTATTTTTATTATAGCTGATTAGTTTTTTTTTATAATTTTTAACAACCTTGTATGAAGCATCAATTTTTGACAATATTTTAGGAGATGACAATGACATAATCAAAATGTTATCATATCACTGATTTTGGGAAAAAGTCGGATCAAAATTTTAGTGAAAAGAAATGTTTAATATTCCAGTATCGGGTACACAATGTAAGTTTTTTATAAAATGCTGTTTGCCAAAAACTAAAAAAAAAAATTTTAGCATGTTTTCATACAGTATTTAATGTTATTCGTGGAGTTTTTGTGGAAATGGTGGAAGAAATGCATTACATGGAGCAATTTTTTATTAAATTGCAAAACATTTATGCCTTCATTTGTCAAGTAAGTACGACTATACAGGGTGTCTGGAAATAACGTTAATGTTAACGAAAATGCCTCTTGGGGCGCTATAGGCATTTTCAATTGTTTCACAAAATCAGGTTTTTATTAATTATTTCAGAAAAAGTGCGAAAATAATGATGCTTTATTTCTGGGTCATTTTTTGAGCAAGGAATCATCTGATGTCTACTCGGGAGAAAGTCCTCCTAACTTTTTATATTGGAATACAATTTTTACGATAATTTTACGTAAAAAGGTGCTCTTATTAGAAAGTAAACTTTCAAATGGCCAACATGCATTTCATGTATGGTACCTGAAAAAAAGGTGCCCTTAGACTAAAGTAGTTAACTCTCTTGATACAAAATTATTAGCGGCAAAAAACAATAATTTAGCATAAAATAAACTGCGCACCACTCAATGTGTCGCGACCAAAAAGTTCGTTCTTTTTCAAAACGACATAACTTTTTTGTTTTTTGAACGATTTTATTCTGGCAATTCATGCTGTAGTTATTAAGCACACGGTTCTTCAAGTAAATTTCCTACAGGGTGATATGTAAAACGGTGAAAAATTTCAAAAACTTCATCCAAGCCCCGTTTGTAAAACAATAATTTTTTTTCGTTTTTACTTTGAAATAATGAAGTATTATGTGTTACCTTGAAACGTTTTTCAATTTTTTCGAATTGGAATCTTCGCAACGAAAATATGATTTTTTTTTCAAAAGAGTACATTTAAGGCTTTTTAGTAGGCACTATACCTACTCAGTCTTTTTAAGAACAAAAAAATAAGATGGTAAAATATTGTTCCTTGAATAATTCTGAACAAGCGACAAGCAACAAACTTCCATTATTTTCAGAGGGGCCTAAGCAAAGACCACTTTTTCAAAATGACATTTTGGTGAAAATTTGCGAAAACTAAACCTGAACCAATATTTACGTTCGTGACATGTTTTCTTTATAATTTTAACCTCCTGATTGTGATTCAGTTGTCAAATTTAAGTTTCAGATAAAACCAAAATCATCAAGAATCAAAATTCGAAAACAATTCCCTGTTGTTAAATGTCTTAATAAAATCATTTGGGGATTCATTTTTTGGGCGAAATTACTGCAATTTGTTTGAGTGGTTAGGATAATTTTACATTGCGCAGTAGTGATAACATCATTGATAATGATACCTAATTGGTAATAAAGTTAAATAAAAATATTTTTGTTCATTTTTGAAAATTGTATGCGTAGATATAATCATAATCAAAACTTCAACATTCAACAGAAAAATGTAACAAACAATAACAATAATACCTTTCAATATTTCGTTGGCCCTCCCCTAAGCCGTAATAATTCGTTAACCCTCCTGGGCATTCTCTCGACCAAGTTCCTTAGAAATTTCTGGGGTACCCCATTCTTCCTTAATAGCATTTACCAATTCATCCAAATTTTTCATGCTTCCTTCCCTCTCTTCAATTTTATCCTGCTCCACACATGCTCAATAGGATTCATATCCGAAGACAAAGGTGGCCAATTCATTTTCTCAATATGGTGGTCCCTTAAATACTCATTTACGATATGTAAAAAACAGTAAAAACCAGCAATCGGATTTTATTGACACATTTAACAGCCGGGAATTGTTTTCGAATCTTGATTCTTAGTGATTTTGGTTTTATCTGAAACTTAAATTTGACAACTGAATCACAATCAGGAGGTCAAAATTATGAAGAAAACATATTACGAAATTAAATATCGCTTTAGGTTTAGTTTTTGCAAACTTTCACAAAAATGTAATTTTCAAAGTGATCTTAGCTTAGGCCCTCTGAAAATAATAAAGTTTGTTGCCTGTCGCTTCTTCAGAATTATTTAAGGAACAATATTTCACCATCTTATCTTCTTGTTCCTAAAAAGACTGAGTGTATTGCCTAAAAAAAGTCTTAAATGTACTCTTATGGAAAAAATAATCATATTTTCGTTGCTAAGATTCCAATTCGAAAAATTTGAAAAATGTTTCAAGGTAACACATAATACTTCATTATTTCAAAGTAAAAACGAATAAAAATTTATTTTTTTACAAACGGGGCTTGGATAAAGTTATTGAAATTTTTCAACATATCACCCTGTAGGAAATTTACTTGACCAACCGTGAGCTTCATATCTATAGCATAAATTGCCAGAGGATGAGGCTAGCAAACCAAAATAAAATCGTTCAAGAAACAAAAAAGTTATTTTTGAAAAAGAACGAACTTTTTGGTCGCGACACATTGAGTGGTGCGCAGTTTAGTATTTATTGCTTCAAGAATTTTGCCAGCAGCTTTTCCAGTATAAGGGCCCCTACCAGATTTTTGATACGGGGCCCCCTCGAGGCTAGTTACGCCACTAGTGTAGCTAAAAGCTGTTCCATTGACACCCACTACACACCCTTAAAACACATTTTACAAATTTTGTAAATATAGTAAATGTCAATTCGATTATATTATATTCTTTTAGATGTGCTTTTTCATACTGTGTCAACTATACCTGGAACATCCAAACATGCTCGAACTAAAAACAGACCGCAGTGTCGTTATGGCATTAACAACAATTCTTTTTTACTCCGTGATGTCCTATTTCGTAACTAGGATAAAGGATATATGCGCAAATAACCGCGTACGAAGTATTGACACGACCAGATCCTTCAGAAATTACACGAAATGGATCTGCAAAATAATCCTGGAATGGCTCAAGGCGATAGTCGTTGTAATATGTCTTAAAGAGCAAGGAATAAACTACGAACCTTCATTACAGTACAGCTTATTGACCTTTGGGTATTTCATGTGTACCGAAAAAATATTTATAGAAATATTCCCGAGAGCTATGGAGTATCTGGAGTTGAATGCTTTGGAGAATTTGGAACACATGTATATCCCGCTAATAATGAACATGGCAGCAATTGCAGCAGGATTAATAGTCAGCTTTTACACTGTATCGGTAGAATACTACCCATTTGTTATGTTTAGTGTCTACTTCCTAATATATCTCCGCTGTAAGGACGCTTATTACAACTATTGGGAGTGCATCGTAACGGAAAAGGAGACTTACTCGAGTTTTCGCACTGCTACAGAGAGGGACATCAAAAAGTGGAACGATATTTGTGCAGTTTGTCTGAATCGGATGAGCAGGGCTAGAATCACCCCTTGCAACCACTTGTTCCATCCCTTTTGTTTGAAGCAATGCCTGAGGAATTCGTATTTCTGCCCGTTGTGCAAACAACATTTTATTGATACGCATGTTAATAAATAACAATAAATGTTTGTAAATTTGTTTTTTTAATTAAAGTAATAAAACAAATAGTCACTGTATTTAAAAAATCATTACTTTTATAACAAGTTTGATAAACGCCATTTTATACATGAATTTAATTTAGGCACGAGCGAGCTTGCAAGCGAGTGCTTAAATTAATGAGTGTATAGAAAAGTTTATAAACGAGGTGCATACTATACTTTTTCTACGACAAATATTTATTATTATCTTAAAATGATTTAAAACAAAAATTTGTATAGAATCTGTGTTACCGTCAAATGTCAAATTTTTATATTATAAAGGTTATAAATCAAAATGTATTTCTTGAAAATGGACAGTTTTTCAAAGTGAAAGTAAAGAAAATGTTTTATAAGCACTTTACATTGGAGTCCGTGCCCGAATTTAAGTTATAGTTTACTGCCGGCAAAATTAAAAGTTCATATAAACTTTTCAAATATTGGCGTTGAGAAATTATTTAATACTTTTGTATTTTTGTATTGAGATAATAAAATAATTTTCACATTTAGTATTATTTTACAAGAAAGGCACTTTATTTTAACGATTGTATGACATTTGACAACTGTCAACTAACTTAAAACTAACTTCAGCCCGTGACTAAAAACCTGTTGCTGGCTTCAGCCCGTGACTAAAGCGATATAAAGACACAACTTGTCAATGTGTATTTAAAAGGTCACTTAGTGTCTGGAAACATGTACGATACAGGGCAATTTAAAGGTGGGAGTAGAAAATAGTATATTATGTATCAAGTTTGATAAACGCCATTTTATACTCGAATTTAATTTAGGCACGAGCGAGCTTGAGAGCGAGTTCTTAAATTAATGAGTGTATAGAAAAGTTTATAAACGAGGTGCATTTTTCTATGACATCCTTATTATTATCTTAAAATGATTTAAATCCAAAATTTGTATAGAGCGCCATCTATGAAACAATAGGGGAATCTGTGTGTCACCGTCAAGTACCAAGTGTAAGTATAGAAATATTTCCTTAGGCACTTAAAATATAATAAAAATATACATTATTATTCGTTTTAAAGAAATATTTATTTATTGCAACACCCCAAGCAAAATATTGATGTACATATCGAAAAAAAATGCCCTCAAAGTAATCTTTCTCCTAAGTATTTTTATTTTGATTTTAAGGTTTTCCAGGAAATTAAGGATATTTTTTTCAATTTCCTATAGTTTGGTGGTATTTTACGCGACTACAATTTGAATAGGTGATATTTTCTTTTTTACCAGTTGTGCCGTAACACAACATAGAAGGGTCATTCCACGCTTAACGGATAGGACAGTTGCCGTGTTTTTATTTACAAAATAATATTGTTCTATTATATTACCAATGTTAAATTTTTATAAATAGTTCTAAACTAAAGCTGTTTAACAAGGTTTTTATTTGGCAAAATTAGGTATCGTGGTTGACTGTTTAATTCCTTAAAAACTAATAATTTAAAGCGTAACGGACGGGACTTTGTAGTAGTAATAATAACTATTTATAAAAATTTGACATTGGTAATATAATAGAACAATATTATTTTGTAAATAAAAACACGGCAACTGTCCTATCCGTTACGCGTGGAATGGCCCAGGACCAATTATATATAATATTTGCAGTAATATTTATTAAATACTTCATATCTTTCAAACCTTGCATTTTATTGCATTATTCCATAAGACTTTTTTTGTAGGAAATTGAATTTTTTATAAAATTGTTTTTACTTTTTCCCTGTACCTTCAACAGTTTTGCCGTAAAACCCAAAAAATACGTATACAGCTCTAAATATATGAATTGTAGTAAAATTGTTGCAAGTTCTTTAAAAGAGCATCCAAAGATATACTATTTTTTTTGTATGTAAATTGTAGTAACGTAAAATGTAGCCAAGCTGTAGGAAATCAAAAACAAATCCAATGGAAAAACTTTAAAATAAAAATAAAAGTACTTTAAGATTTGTGGCGGGTCTGCAATCTACCACCCAGCAATACAAAATAAAAATCATTTTAAATTAACATAATTTATTAATATAAGCTGGCAATTCTTCACACAATTTTACCTGTAAAATTAATTTTTATGATAATAAATTAGTTTTAAGATTCACACCAACTATTTAATTAATCTATAAATTTATTAATCACATAATACATTATAATATAATAATTGTGGGGAACTTTATAGGTGACTAGAAATAAAACATTTAGTGGGTGCTTATTTTCTAAAGTTTGATTGCAAAACTAAATTATTTACCATTTTTATTAAAATGTTTTTTGTTAATCCAAATTTTAGATTAATAAAAACAAAAAATCAACGTTAATAATAATTAAGAAATAATGAGGTTGTATGACAACCATAAAACATCTTATGGAAGATATAAAATCACAAATAACGTTTTAATTCCAAATATTGCAAGGTACAATACAAATAACAATGAAATTTAAAACTTATGGATTATTGCAACAATAGTATAAGTAGAATATGGCAATTTTGACAATTAAGCGTTTAAAATGTGAAATATTAATGCAAAAATAACACAAATCGTTAAAATATTCGTATTTATAATAACTTAACACTTTTTAACTTAAACTACAAAACAACAACGTCCTGGCCGCATCTCACCATCAAAAAACCCTAATCGTTTAAAACACTGTTCAAGGCCTGCCTGGCTCAATCCTTCATCGAAAGCGCCGACCAGCCGAACACCCGCCTGTCGAAGCCGCAGGTGAACAGGTTGATCCCGTTGACGGGGTCGTCCGCCCACGCGCAGCACGCCACCATGCGGCTGTGCCCCGACCGGCTGGATCTGGGCAGCCTGGCCAGCCGCTGGCCGCTCAGGTCGAACAGGCGCACGTGCCGGTTGTCGTGCGGGATCGCTGTCACGCCATTGGCCGAGACCGGAAATTAGGGATATTTTTATCAATTTCCTATAGTTTGGTGGTATTTTACGCGACTGCAATTTACATAGGTGAGACTTGTAAATAATTAGACGCTCTTTAAAAGTACCTGTAAAATTTTATATACAACCTATATTTTCGACCTGTAGAAGTTATATTTTTAAGAAGAAAAAACATTACTTTTTGCCTTTTATGGCAAAACGGTTAAAGTTGCAAGTGAAATGTGAAACAAGATTTTTATAGAAAATTTAATTTCCTATAAAAAAGATTGTATGCATTAATTCAATAAAATGCATAGCTTAAAAGAAATAGAGCATTTAATATATTTAACCGTCAAATTTGGATAAAACTAATTTTTTCATCAATAGTTGTAAAATTGCTTAAATGCTCTATATCTTCCAAACTACATTTTATTGCATAAATTCATAAATCTAATAATAATAATAAACATCTTTATTGGTTTCCCAACAGGCTATCGACCGTGGTCTTTCTGCCCAATTTTACAAAAAAAAATTTATTTTTGTAGGAAAATCTATTTTTGTAGGAAATTAAATTTCCTATAAAATTATTTTTTACTTTTTACCTGTACCTTTAACCGCTGTGCCGTAAAAAACATAGGACTAATTAGTTTATCAATATTTGACAGTAATATTTATTAAATGCTTTATATTTTTTAAACTATTGCATACATTCATTTTTTTGCTTAGGAAATTGAATTTTTTATAAAAGCTTTGTTAACTTTTTCCCTGTAACTTTTAACAGTTTTGCCGTAAAATCCAAAAATATTATCCCGGTGACGTATAGGTACATCTCTAAATATATAATTTGTAGTAAAATTGTTGCAAGTACTTTAAAAAATCATCTAAAAAAGAACTAATTACATCTATGTAAATTGTAGCAACGTAAAATGTAACCAAGCTATAGGAAATTGAAAAAAAATCCAATGGAAAAACTTTAAAATCAAAATAAAAGTACTTCAAGATCTGTGGTGGGTCTGCAATCTACTACCCAGCAATACAAAATAAAAATCATATTAAATTAACAAAATTTATTAATATAAGCTGGCAATTCTTCACACAATTTTACCTGTAAAATTAATTATTATGATAATAAATTAGTTTTAAGATTCACACCAACTATTTAATTAATCTATAAATTTATTAATCACATAATACATTATAATATAATAATGGTGGGGAACTTTATAGGTGACTAGAAATAAAACATTTAGTGGGTGCTTATTTTCTAAAGTTTGATTGCAAAACTAAATTATTTACCATTTTTATTAAAATGTTTTTTGTTAATCCAAATTTTAGATTAATAAAAACAAAAAATCAATGTTAATAATAATTAAGAAATAATGAGGTTGTATGACAACCATAAAACATCTTATGGAAGATATAAAATCACAAATAACGTTTTAATTCCAAATATTGCAAGGTACAATACAAATAACAATGAAATTTAAAACTTATAGATTATTGCAACAATAGTATACGTAGAATATGGCAATTTTGACAATTAAGCGTTTAAAATGTGTAATATTAATGCAAAAATAACACAAATCGTTAAAATATTCGTATTTATAATAACTTAACACTTTTTAACTTAAACTACAAAACAACAACGTCCTGGCCGCATCTCACCATCAAAAAAACCCTAATCGTTTGAAACCCTGTTCAAGGCCTGCCAGGCTCAATCCTTCATCGAAAGCGCCGACCAGCCGAACACCCGCCTGTCGAAGCCGCAGGTGAACAGGTTGATCCCGTTGACGGGGTCGTCCGCCCACGCGCAGCACGCCACCATGCGGCTGTGCCCCGACCGGCTGGATCTGGGCAGCCTGGCCAGCCGCTGCCCGCTCAGGTCGAACAGGCGCACGTGCCGGTTGTCGTGCGGGATCGCTATCACGCCGCTGGCCGAGACCGAGAGCCGGTTCACGGCCGAGTCGACGCGGATGGTGGAGACGGGCGAGCGCATGTTGCGCAGGTCCCACACTTTGACGCTGCGGTCGTCCGAGCTCGAGACGACTTTGTCTTCGCGCGTGAATACTGTAGACGTTACGGTCCTGCAACAATGTTTTGGCCGTTCAGAGTTTGGGTCAGGGTGGAAGAAGAAGGTGATATAGCTCCTATCTCTACAGTACAGAAGCAAGCGTCCAGATAAGTCAGTATTTCGCTCGTTGTTCGTTAGATGGCGCTTCAAATAAGAACCTAAGGTTTTACCAACGAAATCCATATATTATATAACAACTTAACTTTTAACAACAAATAATTTTAATTATTATAAGATAACGAAAACCCAAGGATCTTCTTCTACCCTTCATAACGAAAATTACATCTTTTCTTTCAGCATTATTATAATAATTTGCAGAACGATTGGCAATACTGTTCTGCCAATATGCACAGTCGCCACAAACGCACAAAAGTGACGTTAAAATGGTTTTATTTGAATTTTAATTAAGCTTAGTGGTCTATTCTTTGAAGTTAATCAATGCAATTTTACTAAAAATGGGAAAAGTTTGTTTTGCACCGGTATTAAAACAGGTTCCACTTCAATGCGCCATCTATACAGACTTTTAACAAATACTGACTAATCTGGCCGCCTTCAACGACGGAGTTGAATCACCTCCTTCTTTCACCCTGGTTTGGGTGATTAGAAATGTTGTGAAAATGAGAATATTCCTAAAATATGTTTCAACTAAACCATCATTTGGTATTTGAAAATTATCTATTATAAAAAATAAAAAAAATCGCTTAAAATTAAATTGTACAAGGCCTAAAGCTTAATTTTCATGTATCCGTTTGTCCGTTAGTCCGTTCATCCGGGAGCGCTCTTATTGGTCCAATTATAATTCAAAAATTATGACATTTTTTCCGTCCGTCAAGTTTTAACTTCGTACGTCTGATGGAGAAATTTAAAATAATTTTAACTAATCTGTCACTACACATCTGTTTTTGACGCCTAACGTTATTTTAAGATACTTTATTTTCAAATCTTTTAATATTCTTTTAATAAGATTGTAAAACGGAAATATAACGTTCGTTATGTGAATAATGTTCTACTTTTATGTTTTTATTTAATAATAATAACAGAAAAAAAGAAAAGACAAACAATAAAATACCTACCTTTACATTTATTAGACAGCTAACTGTTAAAGTTACAATTGTTGACATAATTGTAACTATGACAATTAAGCATTAGGTAAATTTAGTAAAGTGAATATACTGACCCTTAATTTTTATTTGTCGCCAAATCAATCCGTTAAACGTCATGTAAAAACGGATGCATGAAAATTAGAACATTTCTTATCGGACGATTTTATTGAAAAACGTACAAACGTACAACGGACAAACAGATACATGAAAATTAAGCTTAAAAACTAAAAATCTAAAGAATTTTTTATTCTTATAACACACGGAAAAATTGATTTTTTTTTGTAAAATAAACACATTTGAAAAAGTAATAATATCCTTTATTACGAAAAAAAAATAAAACTAAACATTGAATTAAATTAAACTGATTTAAGAAAATAAACGTAAACGTGAAATATACTGTCGGTTGGGTCTTTTTTGCAAAAAGGAGTCCATTAAAAATATCTAACTACAAAATAATGAATGATTTATAAAGTTAAATTAAAAAATTATAATATTAGAAATCGAAGGGTTAAATAAAAGTTATGTTAATACAGCACCAAATATGTTTTTTTGCTGGTAGAATATTCTTACTGAATTAAAATAAAAAGAATAATTATTATAATCATAATATTATGATTATAATTAACGTCGGAAATTTACTTTTTTCTCGATATCAGTGTATGGATATTATCCGTAAAATTTGGAAATTTTCAGAAAAATTGACTTGCTTTTTCATTAAAACATGAAAAAATCAATTTTTCTGAAAAATTTTTGACAGTTCAAACAGCCATTTAAATTATGTTATTTTTCGTCATGTGACACAAATCACCCAATCATTTCAACATTTAACTGATAACAACACTCAGGGAAGTTTTCAATCACTATGACACCAAGACTGTCAATTTCATAAAAAAATTTCAATACGTCACGTTTTGGCAATTTGAATTTTAAAGCTATAAACGCGCTTATTAAAGAAAACATTCCCAAAAATACTACTAAGTTGTCATAAATATACGTGGGGGATATTTATGGAGTTTTGTTTTGAACGCAAATATTATTTAAACGAGAATAGAATCGAAGAAGAACTGGCATTAATATTAAAAAATTGGGCGGTCAATATGAGGACGAAAGATGGGACCGAATTTAAAGAAGCCATTGTTAAGACCATGTGGAAAGTTACGTGTAAACTTTTGCAACAGAAATACTATAATGAATATAAGATAATGATTGACCTGTGTAAGAGCATAGTATTTACATGAACCTGCCCGAGATGCCCGCGATGCAACCAGAAAGAAACTGCAAGCATATTCATGTAAACGTAAGACCAGTTCAGTTTTATTAAGTTTTTCTGAAATAAACCAAATAATATGTACTTTTAATAAATAAATAATCGTTGTGTTGCGAGTTATTTGATTTTATCAAAAAATTTTCTGACCGAATATCCCTCTGACATTGACAAATGCCTCATAATTTTATGTCAAATTTCTCAAGCACGCTTGTTGGTAACACCCCTCCGCCTTCGGCGTCGGGCTGTTACCAAGCAACGTGCTTTCGATTGTCATAAAATTATCTCGTGCATTATCAATGTCCCAGGGATATTATAGCTGAAAATTTCACAATTTTGTCGTTTTTTTCCGGAAATTTTAAAACCCTAGTACTGATGGCCATATCTTCTGACAAGCAAGAGATAAAAAAAATTGATTAAAAAACTGGTTTTATAGGCTTTCACATTAATATTATATAATATTTGCATTCAGAATAAAAGGTAAAGTGATTCAGCAAAAAACATTTATTTTTGCTGGTTTTCCAGATTTTAAAATGTTTTTGCAGTTGCAATTCAATAAATATTGTTTGCGATGAGGAAACGAAGATTTTTAGCCAATAACTTTTATTGTGGGATGGTTTTTCTTTTTATCCCTTACATCATAATTTCAATTTTTAGCTTAAATCACAACAGAATAGAAATTTAGAAAGAAATTAAATGGGGGGGAACCTTTGGGTTAACGTAGTATCCCCATTTGTGATTTGATATATGATTTTGTGAGACATCATACACATTCACAAATAATTTCAGATTTTTTTACAGCACTGATTACAAGAAAAAATGTAATGCTGCATTTGTTTTCATATACCATTTTTTTTATTTTGTATATGGGTGATTCTACAAAAGTTGGACAACTTGATGTCATCAGTCAAGAGAGTATGTATTTTAATATTTTTTGTAAAAATTTTAATATATTACAAAAGATCCAGGTTTGTTTAACTTATCCACCCAATTTTAATATTTTTTTTCAAAAGCACGTCTGTAGAAAAACATAAAAAATATGCAAAACATCAGTACCTTGGCGTGTCACAACTCCTGAATCAAATATTTGAGTGATTTTGTTTTAAAATATATCCGATTTAACTTAAATTTTTCAATTTTACTACAAACTATTAAATAATGTATTTTTCATCTTTTATCATAGATTCGAATAATAGCAATTTTTAAAACTGATAATCTTTGTTCTCACTTTTACCCGTCAGTTCTGTGTCCAATGTTAAAATTCAAAATTCCTGCGAAATATTGAAGTTTAAACGTCAAGTCCTCGTTTTAACTTAAGTGTTGGTAAAAATTACCTACAGAGCCCGCCCTTTGCACGACAGTGACGTTGAAAACAATGCAACGGCGAAGTTGTGGTGAATGCACGTATAGTTCCAGTCAAAATGTCAGTACTGTGGTGAGTAGTTATTTTCTTACGTATATATATTTCATTGTAATTTATATAAGGCTATATATATGTGATTTGTTGATAAGAAGCATCCACTAATAAAAAATATGAGTAAAATACTTAATTCCGAATAATAATCTCAAATTTGTATCCCATTCATCAGTACCGTGTCGTCAGTTCCATGTTCGATGTTTCGGTTATCTTTTTTTCGCAAATTTCAATTTAAACTCTGCTTGCGCAAAACTTGTTTATTTAATGTCATTATAAACTCATATAAATTTGGTGTGGGTACCATATCTAATAATTGAGATATCGGTATACCCAAAATCCACCAGCCACACTGATGTGTGGTATTATTTGATTTTAAGATATTTAATGTATAATATGCTCAAAGTTGCAATAAATCTTATATTTTTCAATAAATTATGTATTTAATTATTACCCTGGCATACTCGTCACTTCCCTTGCATTCAAATTTAGAAAACACAAATATTTCAGAAACTGTTTGAAAAAGGGACTGGCCCAGTCTGGAACAGTATATTTATTATATTATCTACGTTCTCATAACAAAATACTGTTTAATTTTCTCCGAAAACTATATAAACAAAATAAGGTCAAAAGTTGCCCAACTTTTGTAGAATCACCCATATCACGAGCTCGCCCATGAGATTTCCATAAAAAATAAACTAAATCAATTTTTAGGCAATCAACATGGTTCTAAACCCACCCAACCTATCCCTTGTTTTTTAGAGTTTGGAAACGAATTTTTAAATGGGAATCTGTGGAAAATAACACTTGTGCATGCGCAGGTGTTATTTTCTATAGATTCTTTTAAAAATTTGTTTTTAAACTCAATTAACAAAAGAAGAATTTCTATTCTAAGCCATCAAAATTTTAATTACATTATATTTTTAAAGCAATCCCAAACAAACATTTTCGCTCTTTTTGAAATTACTTTTATAATAATTTAAAACACAAACAATACTTACTCAGCGTGTCCTTGAAAAACCGACACCAAAGGAGCGACCTCTCTAAAATCCCAAAGCCTAAACGTCGTATCTCTTGACGATGTCACCGCCAATTTTTGAGTCGGATGAGCCGCTGCATACGTTAATTCTCCATCGTGTCCTAAAATAAATCAAAATTGCAAAGTATATTAAATTCCTCTTAAAAAAATGTATATAGTAAACGATAAAAAAAGTAAAAGTAAAAGTCCTTTTCATGTGCCCATCTTACCCGTAAAAGTTGTGAGCATCCGCCCGGTTTCGACGTCGTGCATTATCGCCAGGCGATCCCAGGAGGCCGTTATTATTTGTTCGGCGCCCGCCAGCCAATCGGCGGACGAGATCGCGCCCGAATGGCCCGCGAATTCGATAAAAGGCGTTCGTAGCGTCGAGACGCGGTTGAAGTCGGACTTTTCGTCCACTTCGTCGCCTTCTAGTTCTTCTTCTGAAGAATGACCTTTCTGAAATATTTTTTTAAAATTACCATTTGAGGTAAATATGTATTAGAGCGCCCGTTATTTCCTAAGTTGTTTTTATACTTGGGTATCATCTAAATTATTGGTTTGTAGTCTAAAAACAATTTTGTCGTTTTAAATGACATTTTTATGACAAATTCATAACTCGCTAATAAATAAATATGAAACAATATATAAGACATAATATGTCTTATATATTATGCTTGTAGGATTTTTAATGCTCTACTAAAAAGGTCTTTTATCAGTCAGGTTCCAGCGCTTGAGAAGGCACGACGCGTGTGGGAAAGCTCTTAAAACGTAAAAGTTTAAAGATTAAAACCAACAATAATTTTTTAAAAAAGTGCAAACTAATAAAGTGAAATAAACAATTTTCATAAAGTGCAAACTAAAATGGTGTAACGGTCATTGAGGAGTGAAGTGTTAAGTGATATGAATGAGTTAAGTGCCACCTGTCATTGGACGCTTTTCATTGGACAAACAAAGGAGGTCAAACAAGAGGGGAGGTGGCCATCCGCAAAAAAAATTGATAAGTTACCTTAAGAATATGCATGACCTAATACAAAATCTGCAATTTAAATACGGCAGATATCTTTAAAACCTATGAAAGGCACACGGCATAGGGCAATAAATCTGTCAACAACAAATGCGTAATGCAATCCCAAACGAAACCGAAAATAAACACTAGACTCAAAGAATAAACTAACACATTAATCATAATAATCCTAACACAGTAAAAAAAGACTAATAGCCAAACTCTTGCGCTTGTCATTTGTTTAACTAATAAATAAATGCAATGCTAAATTTTGGAATTTAAGAAAAAAAGACAAAACTCTACCACAAAACGTGCTTGGGACAAAATTTATTAAAAACAACTGACACACTTTACCAAGTGCAGGAACTATCTGACCAGGACACGGACAATGACAATAATGAACAAGACAAAGACCTCGACTAGGAAACTACACCCCTGCAGCAAAATAACAACTCCCCAACTCCAAATAGTAATCCCAAATGTTTGGAGTAATACTAATCGACTGGTCTAGGGGGATTTCGCGTCGTACTTAGTTTTAAGTCGGCGTAATTGTCCCCCAAAAACCACCTCCCGTCCCTCCTCCATACCCCACTGAGCGTATAGCATAGGCTCGGCGAACCCGAGAATGGCTATTAAAACTATTCGCCTCTCGCTCTCGAACCCCAAATAGGGCACAGTACGGAACGCAATGGACATTCGCACCCAGCAAACACGGGTGAAGCCGTGCAGTTGCTGGGGAAGAACAAAAATCGGCGTAAGTAAACATAGGCCTGTACGGGGTTCGAGAGTCAAGAGGAAATGGGGCTGGTTATACGTCTCTTATACTCATACTCATACTCTACTAAAAAGGTCTTTTATATTTTTTTTGTAAAACCATTAGGGCGGAAAAGTTTTTTTCTTACTACCTCGACTCAAAATACGTTGTTTCGTCCCCGATTCCACGGCAGAAAGTTTACTTTTCTTGCATTGGTCAAGCTATACGCGCACACTCTAATAGCGGGAGTAAAAATTTTTTAGTCGTGTGCTTAACATTCAAATTTCGTACTGCCAACATGAGAAACACAAAAATATGACAGTTTTAAACCATAATTTTGCAATTATAACAACAAATAAACAATTTATGTTTTTACTTTTTATGTTGTTTTAAGTGTTTAATGGTACTTTTATTTGTTATAAAGTAGTAATTTGTTAATTAAAATACAACCTTTTATTTTTACTGTATTGGCACCGCTGAATTACCATGACAACGCTACAGTTTGATTGATTTTGAATGTAAACGTCAGAATTAAATTAAACGTCAGATTTTAATTTTGACAAAAGTTTTTTTATATACATTTAATTTTTGCCCGTATTTTCTGCCGGGTAGCAAGAAAAATAGTATACACTACACGGGCAGAAAGTGTAAGAGCCCTGAACTGCGCGCCATGATGCCCTCGGCTTCGCCTCGGGCATCATGGCGCGCAGTGCAGGAATCTCACACTTTCTGCCCTTGTAGTGTAATATACTATTTTAACGAAAACTTTTGCACTCTTTTTATTTTATTCAAAGGGTTATACGAAAAAATGTAAAAGTTAATTTTTCTGAAAATTTTCAAATTTATACGGATGAGTGAATTTTTGACACTGAATATAATCTTAGTATTATGATTATAATAGTTATTCTTTTTATTTTAATTTATTAAGAATATTCTACCGGGTCGCAAAAAAAACATATTCCGTGGACTCCTTTTTGCAAAAAATATTTAACGGTTACGTTTATTTTCTTAAATTAATTTAATTGTATGTTTAGTTTTATTTTTTTTCCATTAAAATAATCTTAAGTTGTTGACTGCCACTTTTTTTCAAATGTGTATATTTCCCAAAAAAAAACATTTTTTCCCAAAAAAATTTTTTCAAGGCCTGGGAAAAAACGGAAAAAAACAAGTTTTTCCGTTTTTTTTTCGACCCTTTCGACCCTAAAAAACATTTATTTATATAAAATCGTGCAAAGTAGAGACCAGAATCTGCCTACTAAAACACTACGCGTATACGGGAGATAATCGCAGAAATTGGCAATAAGGACCAAAATATATTAAATTAATTAATTAATATTCAGAGTTAACGTTTTTTTCTTTTTCTTTTGTATACACTTTAAAAATTTTGTGTAACTATCAAACACTGAAATTAATGATATTGTATAGCCTTTTGGGAACCCCAATAAAGAATTTTTATTAATATTATTATATAATATCGTAGGTCGAAATTTAAAATAAATCAAAATGATAAAATTATTGTCATTCTTTTCTGAAGTATTTTGAAAAATTGTTTTTAGAGTTTAAACATATAATTTAGATGATACTCAAGTAAAAAAAAATCTTGGGAAAACAGACACAGTGTGACCCATTTGTTTGCGACTCACCCCTTTAAAATCTTTATTTATTTTGCGATTTTAACCGGATTTGTTTAAAAGGGTAGATCTTGATAAACTGTATTTTTAATGCAAAAAAAGTCATATTTTTACAAAATACAAGGGGTAATATGTCAGTTTTTGGGAGTAAATTTTTAAGAATTCATATTAGCTATTTAAAAAAAAAATCTATGCACGGCACTGGATTCACCACCCCAAAACGGACCCTATATTAAATTTTAATCAAAATGTTTAAGTAGGAACGATTTTGTAGCCAAATTAAAAATGAAGAATAATAATTTGAAAGAATAAATGTTTGTTAATAGTAATCGCGTGACGCAATATGTTACCGGACCCTTATAATATATTTGTCTTTAATATATAATTAAATTTAATGGCATTCGTATAAATACCTATTATATAAATTAGTAATTTATACAAGGTACGGATGGCAATGACGTTGTACCTAATTAAATTTAAAAGTAACAACAGCAACGTAAACAGACTCAATTGGCAAACCATAAAAGTTAACAAAAATCAATTTCCCGCCTCGGTAATTTGCATAGGCGATCATCCGAAATCCAATTAAATTCCCCGATTATTTTGCAACGGCCTAATCAAGCGATCACTCACCGGAACGTCCCAGTTTAGGGCCGCCTGCCAAATGTGCGCCGTATTGTCGCCGCTGCCCGTCAGCAGCAAATCTTTGCCCGGATGAAACCGGATCGAGTTCACGGATCCCGCGTGGCCCTGGTACTGCAGCAAGCAGCGCATGCTGTCGATGCTCCAGATGCACGCGTTATGATCTGAAAAAAATATATATTAAAATATTTTTTTAATAATAATGAAGTAGTTATTTTTTTAACATATACATTTAAGGGTTTTATTGTGACGTAACAAGTATCCAAATTACTTTCTATTGGTTAAAAGAGGGCCACTAAAAATTCAATTGTTTTATTTTTTATCATTTTATCATTGAGATGATTTTATACAGATTTTGCTGTGTTTTGCTTCTTAAAAATTTACATTATTTGTTTAAATTTAATTTAATTTTAACTTAAAACAAAACAAAAAACATAGACCAAAAATGTGTGCAGTTATTCCCCAGTTTGAAAACATTTGTTGGTCACTTTGATTTATTTAAATATATCTTGGGATCTCAAGTATTGAATTTTCAATACCTTTTCGACTGGTTCATGAGAAATATTTTAAGATTGTCGATATTTCAATTATAGCTTTTTTAAGATTGTGTTTTTTTTTAAATAATAATGAAGTTTAGTCTCAGCCAAATCTGCAACTTAAAATTGTAAAGTTACTGCCGTTAAATTTGCTTTTTTAAGGCGTAATTCTATGAGGCGCCGTTTGTGTCAAAATTAAAAGTGCTAAATAAACTTATTTTGTTTTATAAATAATTAATTATATGCTTTATAAAATTATTATTATTTTTGATTCGCAGAAAATTATTTTATATTAAAAAAATATTTTATAAAGAAATAATTTTATAAAAAAAATTAGTTTATAAAAAAATTATTTTATAAAGAAATAAGTTTATAAAAAAAAATTATTTATAAAAAAATAATTTTATAAAAAAAAATTATTTTATAAAAGACGACGGGCGAATTTATAAATTAATTTTTACTGCAGCCATCTCTATTTGTTTGTAGACACTCGAGTAAACCCGAGTGAACCCGAACGCCCCTCCCCAGATACAATTTTATGACGGACTGGGCTTTTGTTTGACGCAATTTGGGAAAAACGATTGAAAATAATAATTTATTATTTTTATTAATTAATTAATTAATTTTTTTATCTACATTTATTTTGATTTTTAGTTTTTAACAAGAATTCTATATGTTTAAACGTTTTTTATAAGAAAGCACTTTTAGTTAAATGCAAAACAAATAATGATTTACACCTTTAATAATTAACTGTTAAAATCTATAAACAGCACTACGGTGTTCGTATTGTTCATCTTTTACGGGAGGAAGGGAGAAAGTGCTTTCTTATAAAAAACGTTTAAACATAAAGAATTCTTGTTAAAAACTAAAAATCAAAATATATGTAGATAAAACAATTAATTAATTAATAAAAATAATAAATTATTATTTTCAATCGTTTCCCCAAATTGCGTCAAACAAAAGCCCAGTCCGTCATAAAATTGTATCTGGGGAGGGGCGTTCGGGTTCACTCGGGTTTACTCGAGTGTCTACAAACAAATAGAGATGGCTGCAGTAAAAATTAATTTATAAATGCGCCCATCGTCTTTTATAAAATCATTTTTTTTTATAAAATTATTTTTTTATAAAATAATTTTTTTATAAAATAATTTTTTTTTATAAAATTATTTCTTTATAAAATATTTTTTTTTATGAAATTATTTTTTTATAAAATAATTTTTTTATAAAATAATTTTTTTATAAAATAATTTTTTTTATAAAATTATTTCTTTATAAGATAATTTTTTTATAAAATTATTTTTTTATAAAATAATTTTTTTAATATAAAATAATTTTTTTATAAAATAATTTTCTGCGAATCAAAAATAATAATAATTTTATAAAGCATATAATTAATTATTTATAAAACAAAATAAGTTTATTTAGCACTTTTAATTTTGACACAAACGGCGCCTCATATAATTCTGATGTGTTATAAAAAAATATCAATAATTTACGTATGGTTTACCAAAAACTGTAACAATTTTCATGTTTAAAACGTTTTTTTGCGAAATTATGAAAATAAAATCATTTACTTAGTAATTTGTGTGTGTGCCAGTTGCTAATAGCTTAAGGCTGGTGCGCACCGTTCAATATTATTGATGGGTAACCGTAATTTTATATTTGACGTTTTTTTGTAATTTTGACATTTCGTAATGGGGGTTTAAAGTGTCGGAAAAAAACGGAATAATTGGGGAAAAATCGGCTTTTTTGGGAAAAATTGTTTTTTTTTTTTGTAAAATTCACACATTTGAAAAAAGTAGCAACTAACAACTAAACATTATTTTAATTAAAAAAAATATCCTTTATTACAAAAAAAAATATAACTAAACATAGAATTAAATTAAATTGATTTAAAAAAATAAACGTAAACGTGAAATATACTGTCGGTTGTTTTTTTTTGCAAAAAGAAGCCCATTAAAAATATCCAACTACGAAATAATAAATGATTTATAAAGTTAAATTACGTCATATGCAGTTGATGACGTGCACCCATGCAGATTTGGCTGCGACTAGTTATTTTGTTAACATATACAATTAAGGGTTTTATTGTGACGTAACAAGTATCCAAATTACTTTCTATGGGTCAAAAGTGGGCCACTAAAAATTCATTTATTTTTTATCATTTTATATAAATATTGCTGCTGTGTTTTGTCTCTTTAAAAATTAAATTATTTGTTTAAATTTAATTTGATTATAACTTAAAACAAAAAATATGATATTTTAATAGAAATAGAAACAATAATTTACAAAACCATAGACCAAAAAAAAATGTGTGCAGTTATTCCCCAGTTATTAAAAAAATTTGTTGATCACTTTGATGTATGTAAATAAATCTTGAGATCTCATGTATGAATTCAGATAAATTTTCAAAACCTTTTTGTACTGGTTCATGAGAAATATTTTTAGATTGTCGATATTTTAATTAGAGCTTTTGAAGATTGTATGGCACGCCGTTTCACTTTTTAATCGGATAAGAAATTTTAAGTTAAATATTAATACTTAATAAATTGCACTGTAAAATAATACCTTTAGAATAATACATTAATTAGAAACATACATGTCAAAATTATTCTCTTTTTAAGTATAAGTTGTTAAATTATATATTTAATGTAATTTTTTTGTGTGCAATATTTTTGTGACACATTAATATTTAACTTAACATTTCTTATACAATTAAGAAGTAAAACGGCGTGCCATAATTTTCTAATAAAAACTGATACAATTAATTTTATGGGTACACATGAAATTTATGCACTGAATTTTTATTTCGTAATTAAAATTATGACTATGTAATAAAAATTTTTAGAATCAATTGCATGTGTACAAATAAAATTATATTAACTAATTTTATGTTAACAAATAAAATTAATTTGGCGTTGCGAAAGTGTGACTGAAAGTGGCATCTGCAGTAGTTCAAATGTAGGTATGTTTAATTTATCTACGTCATATATATAACACAAAACTAGAACCTTCTAGTTTTGCGCCAAATTAATTTTATGTGTAGACATACAATTAATTATATAATATTATGGTTAGAGATAAAATTAATCCTATAATTTTTATTATGTAAAGTCATGATTTTAATTGTAACATAAAAATTCATTGCATTAATTTTATGTGTACATATACAATTAATTGTAAAATAAAAATTATTGTCGTGGTATAAATAAGAAATTGCAACTTAAAAAATAATAGAATAAAATAAAATAGTTTAAAAAAAAAGTTGTTGAACAATGTTTTTAGTCTCCAATATAAATTTTAAAGTAAAAAAAAAATAAAGAACCTCATACGAAATAACAATGGACCAAATTTAAATGACGCAAATATTAATTCAACTATGAAAATAATCCATCTGTTTTTATTAAATTTGAATTAAATTTATGCTTGACATAATTTTATTTAATTATTTTTATGTCAGACATAATTAAAATTATAAAAAATTATATATTCCATAATTTTAAATAACCCATTTTAATTTTCTTTTACATTCAAAACATTTACGATTAAAAAGTGAAAAGGCATGCCATAAAGATTGTGTTTTTTTTAATAATTTTTAGCCCATAGATGACAAAAGGGTTGTTTTTAAAGAGTTAAAGCGCGATCGAGAAAATATCACATTTTACAGAAATTGTCTTAGACTTTTTAATGATACAGAACAATTTTTTTAAGAAAAATTGTAATAAAAAAGTATGTATTTGCAATACAGAAATATTTGTCACAAATTATATCAAAATGACCAAAAAATGTGTGTCAATTTTTTATTGTATGATTTAGGAAATTATTGTTTCTATTAAAATGCCACCAATTGTTTGTATTTTTATTTAAATCTAAGTGCTTAATTACTTAAAAATTATATAATCGTTTTTAGCACGACATTGATTTAAAATAATTTTATATTTTATTCATTTGTTTAAATTTAAGTTAAAATGCCATTTAACCCTATATTTGCGACGTCACATTATTATTATTGCCTGGAAAGGAAAATCCAAATGATATTCTGATTGTATAGATAGGTATATTCTAAAATTAAAATACACTTATGCAAGTGTGTGTTTAAAATCAGTCGATTTTAAAGTTTTTATTAGAATTAATTTTTAAAAACTTTTTTTAATTTTTCTACGTTTTATCAAAACATTTATAAAAGACAATGAACAAACAATTTACGAAAAAAAGAAATTGATAATTAAACACGGCAGTGTATAAAATAACCATTATAAATGTCCTGAAAATAATAAGACACCTGGATTTGTATGTTAAAATAATTTAACTACCTCATTGTTTCCTAAAAGCTGTAATTATTTTTTTAAATAAGCAATTTAGCAGCAATCCAAAATGTGTCTAGCTTCTTATGAAAAAATGACCAAGGGTCCAAGAATAAAAAAATGTTGTTATTTTAGTGAACAAAATAAAAAAAATCGTTTAAATGTATAAAATAATTTCATAATTTATTAATAATAAATTCATTTAATATAAACTCACATATTGAATAATAAATGAAATATAACCCAAACTATCGATAAAATGAAATAGATTTGCGCACCAAATGCTAAATACAATATTAAATACAGCAAATCAGACAAAAACATGTTAGTAATGGAACGAACTATTTAATTTAAATATTAAAGTACTTGAAATTAAAATAATGATAATACCATAAAATGTAAAGCCTGATGGATTTAAATATTAGCCTATTAATATGTATTGATTTAATAATTATGTATAATAAAAATATAGGGAAAAACTATTAATATTAAGCAATGGCAATTATAAAAATCAACAAATACATTTTAACTAAAGCATATCTTTAAATCCTTCATTACATACCTTATAAACATTTATAAATCCAGAAGGGTTTTTGAGAACGTAACAGGGTTAGAATTCGTAAAATTAGACCAAAAAATGTCTATTCATTTGGGCGAAATGTTGAAAAATGTATTTATTTCACTATTAAAACTTCTTCATCAAATTAAATGTTTAATAACTTTTATTTATTGCATAATATTGTTTTTTTTTGTGAATAATGATTAATATTATAAATGTCCTTCCTAACAACGGGAATAATAAAATTATTCACGTTGTTAGGCAACAGTGATTGGCCAATTTGAATATTCACTGTTATTTGAACCAATCAGGTTTTAAATTAAGAGAAGGCCACTATAATAACATTTAAAATTGGTAAAAAGTGAGGTTAACCATTTGACAGATGTCAGATTTAATTTAATTAATTTTGAAAATTATTTAATTATCTTTATTGGTGTAGATAAAGTATAGTATTACACTCGAAATTATTCGCATTATCTCTCGTATAATAATATTTATATAATATTTTACTTTAGGTAAAATTGCCCTTGAAATATAAAAATGAATAAATTGAACAAAAATCTGCCATTTTATAAATTATTAGCATAAATTTGTATGTGACCCAATAAGGAGATGAAAATGCAAAAATTACAGATAAAAATAATCAATAACTAATGAATTATGTAAACTGTATAAATTTTAGATGCTTCACAAATTTGTTTGGCCTTAGCAGCCAATACCATAATTACAATGGACAGAAAAGCTAAAGGTTAAAGTTAAACACTAGAAGGGACTAAAGTTACAATTATTTCATTTTAACGAATGATAGAAATGTATTATTATAATGCCATTATGCTTTTACCCGTGTATTGTTTTATTACTTTATTACGTTTTTAACTACAATGCGCGTCAAAATTAACGCATAACAAGTAAAAAAAAATCCAACTCTAAAACGCCTTTACCAATCTAAAATTTTGAATAAAAATACTTTAAATTATCTCAATTTAAGTCTTCAAGGATTTTTCGAGAAAATATCCTTAAAGCCCTTTTATTTTATAATAAAAAACGCTAGAAAAAAACTTTTATAGGGAATTTTTTTAAGTAAATAAAAAATATTCTGTGAAAGACCGTATTTTTGTTAGTAAACCCTAAAAATTTTGTACAAATCAAACGAATAGTAACGAAGATACAGCGCTTCAAAGTCGTCAAAAATGACCATTCAGCAAAATAATCAAAAAGGGGTAATTTTTACCGACTTTGAAGCGCTGTATCTTTGTTACTGTTCGATTGATTTGTACAAAATTTTTAGGGTATACTAAGAAAAGTGCGGTCTTTAACACCATATTTTTAATTTACTTAAAAAAAAGTTCTAAAATTTATTTATATAACGTTTTTTTATTATTTAATTAAAGGGCTTTAAAAATATTTTTTTGAAAAACCCTCGAACACGTAAACTGAGATATAAGTTGAAGTATTTTCATACAAAATTTCATAAAGATTGGTAAAGGCGTTTTAGAGTTTTTTTACTTATTATGCGTTAATTTTGACGGGCAGTGTATTTAGTATTTAAAAAAAATATTTATAAGCTTATAAGCACAAAATCTCTGTTATTTCAAATATATTATTTTGTTATAAGTAATTTTTGAGTTAAAAAAAAAATGGCAATGCTATTGTAATTTTGTAAATCATTCTATATGATGTAAATTATTTACTTAAAGCCATAAAAATTAAGAACTTTAAAGTAAATTGAATTATATTAATAATAAAAAATTATCATTATTTCATTTAATTATTAAATTAAATACCTAATGATAATGTTTTATCAGCCATACAATAAGTATTATTTTAGTACTATTTAAAAAAAGATAGGGAAAAATGTTAAATAAAATAAATAAATATCTTAAAAACTAGGTACCAAGTATATTATTTATTATAGATAAATACTTTAAGTTGTTTTTATACACAATAAACATTTATACAGCTATTTACAACAAATTATAAATATTTTAACATTAAAACACAAATTACAATAATTGAACTTGACAGTTTTAATCATTAGAATGGCACTTAAAACATAATAAACTTTTAAAGTACTCACCAGCTGAGGCAGTACCAATAACAGGGACTCCAGGTCGTGCAACTGAAACTTCCCAAACACCATCCTTATGGCCGTTATATTCTTTTAGTAACTGACAGTTATAATTAGGGGTTTTAAAACTTGAAACTATTTTGCTTGTTTGAGCCTTCAATTTGTGAGCTGTTTTGGATTTTTGTGAAGAGGTGCTTACTGAAAATGTTGATTGATTTTTTTGTTCTTTTTTATGATATGTTTGTTAACTCACATTTTTTGCTGAGAGCTTTGGAAAAGTTGTTTTCAAAATCAACACAGTCAGGTTTATCATAGGGATCCCTTTCAATTTTCTCCTTTAATATATCTATTTTTTCGTGCACTAAAATATTATTATTACATTACATTAATTTGGGATTTCATTCTTTGCATTTATTATATTATTAATATAGGTATACTGTTGTTTAACAAATTTAAAATTTATAAAAAATAATTCAATTTTTATTGGGATATAAGTTCAAATGCTAGAAAAATGTCAATTATGATGAAATCAAGTTTTTTATTAATTCTGCACTTTCATTATTGTGTTTAGTTCATAATAATTTGTATAATACTTTTTAAATTTAAGGATTTTATTTTATGCCTTACTTTATGCTTAAATTTAATTTTTTTGTATTACAAATGAAGCTGGCTAAAAATGTTTATACCTATTCATATAATATAATATTCTTACTTACAATTTTGATTTTCTTGATAAAGTAGATCAAACTCTTTCTCAATTTGTCTAAACAACGTGTGTAATTTAGTTTTATAGGCAGGGCTCAGGGATTCATTCTCAATGTCTGACCGAAAACCCACATAGTAGTCAGTGTCGATGATGCCACTTTGAGGACGATTCATCGAACCCCGTTTTTTCTCCTTTTGGTTAAACTTACTGCTCGGCGTGTTTTGATTGACTGACATTACTGAACAGGTAGTTATCCTTAAATTGAACGCAACATCGTTAATTATTCAGCTAGGTCATTTATGTTATGTTTACGTATCCACGAACTTTGATACACCCTACAGCAGTGGTATTCGTCTCACCTTATAAATAATTAATGGCGATTTTTTGTCAAGGATTCCTTGCTACATAAAATTATAGGCGAAAGTTTATAAACAAATTTAACATGTTTACAAATAATTTGACATTTTGGACTATTTACGATGACAGTTCTTGGAAGTACTGTTATTCATTCAGAGATGGCGCCACATTTAATTTTTTTTTTTTTTAGGAATTCTCTTAAAAATAAGAGATGCATAATAATTATTATGGTTGCATTATTTTTAAGTTTTTACTTATAATAAGTTTTAAAAATAATTTTTTTAATTTATAAAATTTTAAAAACAGAGACCTGAGTTGATTCAATATTTTGAGTGCTGCGTTGTCAGATCCACAAACTTTATTTTAACCTGGTATTTACAAATTATTCTTTCCACAGACTGTGATTCTTTCTCACAGACCACCAAATAGTATATTCTGTAACAAGTTTGGAATATGCAATTCCAAACATGTTTCAGACTATACTTTTTCTACGTTTTCAAAAAATACCATAGAAAAATAATTTAATTGGAAGAAAGTGAGGTTGGATCGGTCTAAAATTTGTTAGATATTAAAAACAGAGATGTCGCCACGAGTGTTAATTCTGTCATCCGATGATGGAATATAAACACTTTACGGAATATATGTCATTTCATAGATAAAAGTAATATTAGAACGGTCAAATTCCGTAATAGGAGTAGAAAAACAAATTGTTTTGGTGGTCTGTGTTCTTTCTATAAAGTCCTTTTTTTATCTGGACTGCGGCAACGTTGCAAATTTAGGGTTTTGGTTGGTAAATACAGTTGTCAAGTTGGTCGCATTGATTAAAACAAACTAAGCCACAAAACTAGGTTCTAGTTTTGTGAACTAAGCTAGTTATAAATCTAATTGTGGTTATGTATAAATTATTGTGCAGTTGTCAAGTTTAGTTGTCGAAATTCGTAGTTAAAAATGCAGTTAATTTGGCTTTGGTGGTGCTTGGATGAGTAAATTTAAATGGATGAGTAAATTTAAATCATTTAAAAAAGTAGTTAAATATAGGTTGCTTTAGGGCCCAGAAGAGAAAGTATATATTAATATTTATAAAACCAAATTCGTTACTTTTTTACTCAAAAAATGTCCATAAGGCGATGTACTTTTTCTTCCATTGTGGCATTTGGCTTAATTTCATCAAAATGAAGTTTTGCCCTCAAAAGGGCTTTTACATTCGAATTCGTTGCAATTATTTTTGGCATAATTATCTTTTTATTTATAATTGACAAGTAAATTATCAATAATAAATATCTATTATTGTCAATTTGACAGTGTCAAAGTATTAAATTAAATTCTTTAGCAGAAGTGCCATTTTTAAATACTAAAAATCAAGTCAAACTGGCATAAGCCACCAACCTAACAAAGAAAAACGAGTCCAGATAAAAAAAATGAACTGCATCTTAAAAATTTTAATATCCTATTATTGTTATTATTTTTTATTGAATCCTTGATTTTTTTAAATTAATTCCTTTAAAAAATACCATATCAGTATTTTGACCCTGTTAAAATCCTTTTATTTTGATTAAAAACAAATTTCTTATTGCATAAATTTAAATAAAATTGCATGGAAAGTTCTTGAGGACTTATCTTATCTTCTATAAAAGCAAGTATAGATATTATTGTTTTGTTACAAGTTGTAATTAACTTACAACCAATATCTTCTTATAGTTCTTATATCCAATAACTAATAAAAATGGTCAGTATAAAACACCATTTTAGGTTTCTATTTAATGTTTTATTTAAATTGTAGGTAAATTTCAACTTTAAAGGCCTTATGGCACCTGTTTTTACCGTTTTTAATGATGATATGTAAGTTAATTACACTTCTTGAGCATGTCGGTTTATTATTTTTTATTTTTAGGACTTTAAATACAAATAAAATCCTAAACTATGCAACATTTTTGCAAAAATCCGGCATAAACGGTGTTTTAGGTGAGTTTAAAAAATACAGCACAGGACCGGGGCAAAAAAACTGTAGCCCTTAATTTAAACCTTAATTTTTTAAACAAAACTTTACAAATTTTAGTCAATGGAACATCGGGAGAAGGGATGTCTTTAAATGTAAAAGAAAGGATGTCAGTTGCTGAATCATGGGTTAAAGCTGTAAAAGAAACTAAACAACACTTAATGGTGCAAGTAGGTGGTGCACCTTTACCAGATGTGCTTCAATTGGTAATAAATGTGAGAAAAAATTAAAGTAAAAATATTGAAAATTTATTTTTAAGGCAAAACACGCAGAACAAATTGGAGTAGACTCTATTTTATGTTTGCCTGAGCTGTATTTTAAACCAACAAATGTGGAAGAGCTTGCTAATTATTTGAAATTGGTGGGGGAAGCAGCACCTAATACTCCTTTACTATACTATCATATACCAGCTTGGACCAATGTTAACAGTAATTATATAATATATATTAAAACCTGTTATGAAACTAAAATCTTTTATAAATAAGAATCTTAAGGTTTTTTAAATATTAATCAATATCAATACTTCAGTAAAATACATTAAAATGTCTTTTAAATTTGGCCCATTTGGAGGGTAATTGAAAACTGGTTTTGATAATTTAGGAAAAATATCAAAAAGTTTAAAAGGCACTAAAGCGTGGTTTTTAAATTAAGATAATCATTTTTAGTTACAGTTTCGTTAACTCGATTTTTTTTAATGCCATATATTTCAGTACATATGGGCAAGTTTTTGAATTTTGTTCCAAATAAAATACCAACCTTTAGTGGAATTAAATTTACTTCGGTAAATCTGGAAGAAGGAATGGAGGCTGTCAGAGCTAATAACAGAAGTTTTGCTGTTTTTCTGGGAGCAGATACCGTATGTTTTAATTTTTATTCTAATGTTATTCTCATAGACTTTAAAACTAAAACATTTTTTTAGCTAACCGCTGGTGCTATGGCTATGGGCTTTGATTCTGCCATTTCCACAACACTAAATATTTTCCCTCAATTGTCCATTGATATTATGAATTTCCTAAAATCATCTAAAATACAAGAAGCCAAAGAAACTCAAGATAAATTATCAACTTTAACAAGCATTATAACCAAAAACGGTAATATTTAACCCAAAATTAATAAAAAAAAAACAATAATACTTTTTTAGGCACATGGGTACCAACAATGAAAGCAGCCATGAATTTAGCCACCCCCATAAATGTTGGTGTAGCTAGATCACCTTTAATGAACTTAAATAAAGACCAACTTACTGAAATGAAAAACTCCCTTAGCAAACATATTAAATTGTAATCAATAAATAAACCTCAATATAGCGTATTTGCATAGTTTTGTACAGCCCTGTGTTCATCACAACAAAATCCCAAAGCCTGTCCTGTCTTACACTTGGCAACCCCGCAGTTTATTCTGTCAATGATGGTTATGTTAGGTTATGTTTACAATTCTTGACAAAAATCATAAATATGGAGCAAGTAAATGTTTACAGAAAAATGCTTGCAGTAACAGTTACAAGTGTTTTACTAGAACACGGTTTTGATGGTGCTGAAAAAGATAGTTTGGGTACATTAACGGAAATGCTACAAGCATGTAGGTTTAGGTAAAATTATGACACAAACAATATTTAAATTGTGTACTTTTAGTTATTTGTGAAGTTGGGCATTTGGGGCGTAATTATTGCGAGCTAAATGGTAGGAGTGAGCCTCTACTAGCTGATATAATTATGGCGTTTGTTGATATGGGTAGATATATACATTTATGTAGGTAATTAAAATTTTTATTTTTGGTGTTAATGTTTTAAGGGTATAATCTCAATGAGATTCCGAAGTATGTAAGGGGTGTTCAACATTCAGTTCTGCCAAGTCTGCAGCCCCAAACAGCTACAAAACAATTGAATATGTTATCTGCGGGAACAAAGCAATCTTTACCAGTTCATATACCACAGCATTATCCACCTTTTCCGGATCCTCATGCATATGTTCGCACACCTGTAAGTTTGTTAATATATTTTTTATTTAGGTTTAAGGGTTACAAATAATTTATGTTGTAGACTCATAAACAACCAGTTATTGATTATGAATCGGTTAGGGAAAAGGCTGCAATACAGAAAAGGGACATTGAAAAAGCATTGACCAAGTTTTTGGCTAAAACCAGTGAAGTGCATAATTTGTTTGAGACTGATGAGGCTAATATATTTCCATGTAAGTACAATTTTACAACTTTTAAATTTTTGTATAGTACAAAAAATACACCATTTTTTGATAAATATTTTTTTAAGTTAATGAATTTTTCCTTTATGAGAAATGAAGGGTTTACCAAATATCTACAAACTTTCAAGATTTATGAAATAAATGAACAAATTTTTCATGTTATTTCCATGTAAAACAATTTTTTACCAAACAAAAATTTAAATATTTTTTCTTTTATTTTTTATTTAAATTAGAGAAAAGTTGCGGTATTACAAGAATATTAAAATTAAATTTAAGAATTAAAAAAACAGCGGTTTTAAAAATATAAAAAAAAAACTAAAAACCTTGCAAAACCAAAAATAGTTATAACTTCATTATTCCTGAAAATTTATAAAAAAGTATGTTTTACATTTTCAAATAATTTTTTCTCTACTAAATTTTGAGTTACCATCACCATCTTTTGTTTATATAATAGCCACCATAAATAATGTAGTTTGATACATACATTGGATTTCTTTATTTTTTTCTATTTAGCCATGTAAAATTTTAATATGGCGGCCATAGGAAAAACAAAAGATGGTCGTGGTAACTTAATATCTAGTATAGTGTTTGACCGATATGCCTTATTGGGCCGATAACGATAATTGGCCAATACCGATATATATCGGCCTATTTTTTTAAACTGCCAAACCACTTAAATATGCATTTATATTTAAAAAAATAATTTTATAATAATCCCAGCCTTAATAAGCATATGAAGAATTTTTTGGGAAGCATCATCAGAGACTGTTTTCAAATTTGCATCCCTTCTGGATTCTAGAAAGGAAGCAAATTTTATTCCAATTTATAACTTGATAAAAATCGCTAATATGAATTCTTAAAAATTTACTCTCAAAAACTGACATAGTAGGCCTTGTATTTTGTAAAAATATGTTTTTGCTCCAAAAATACAGTTTGTCACACTTTAAAACAAATCCGGTTAAAATCGCACAATAAATAAAGATTTTACAGGGGTGAGTCGCAAACAAATGGGTCACACTATATATATAAAAACAAAAAAAATTCCTTATGTGCAGTTCTATCAAAAATAATGGGTACGCTACCCGTTACTATTTTTTTGTTTGTTTTTTAGAAAAAAATATTTTGTTTCTTTACTTTTGGCCGATTTAAAAACTATAAAATGTGTAATTATTTTAAGCTTATAATTATTACCTTTGGAATAAGTTCACCATAAAACGTATATATTTATTACACTTTAAGTTGAGAGAATATTAGGGTAAGAAATTTAACCAAAAATTTTAAAATGTTCCTTTACTTTTGTTTTTCCTAAAAGAAATGTTTAAATCTTTTTTCGTGAATGATCAAAAAAATAATATATCGGCCGATATACTAATGTATGTATATCGGCCGATACCGATAATCGCCGATATTTTCATATCGGTATCGGTCGATCACTAATCTAGTAGGCGAAAAATTTTTATGAAAATGATGATGATAAATGTGGTGACAGGTTTTCAGTTTTTTTTTTTAATTTATTTGGTATCGTTGATTTTTTTCAATTTTAAATGTCATTTTTCTCTAATTTAAACGACTTTGTAGCTCTTCAAATAAAGAAGATACCCATACATACAGTGTGACCCATTTGTTTGTGACTCCCCCCTGTAAAATCTTTATTTATTGTGCGATTTTAACCGGATTTGTTTTAAAGTGTAGATCTTAATAAACTGTATTTTTGGAGCAAAAAGAAGAAGATATTTTTACAAAATACAAGGCCCACTATGTCATTTTTTGAGAGTAAATTTTTAAGAATTCATATTAGCGATTTAAAAAAAAATCTATGCACGGCACTGGATTTAACACCCCTCAAAACGATCCTATACTAAATTTTATTGAAATTTTTTAAGTAGGAACCGTTTTGTTGCCAAATTAAAAATGCACAATAACTACTATTTACAAAAATTTATTCTGTCAAGTTATCCATGAAACAAACATTGAAATAAAATTAAACTAATTGTAACATGGTATAAATATTCTTATGCTTAGTTTTAAAAAATAATAAACGAAATATAAACTTAAACCAACAATGAAACAAAAAATAGAGAATTCCAAAAATTAGATTTTCGTCACCTCTACTAATCCATCATTTATTTTATACACCTAACAATTTTTTAAAATTAACATTTTTAAATGGCATTATTGTACATTATTTATTTTAAAAGTCAATTGACCTAAGTTATCCATGATACAGTGAATTGTCAAAATTAAAACCTTTTATTGTTAAACACAATATTCTATGATTTTTAAGATTTTTTTATAAACTATTTTTTAAATATATTAATTTTATATTGGAAACCCATTTAAAAAAAAATTAAATTAATCTTATTTCTTTACTTTTTCTAATACCATAATATAACTATTTAAATTATTTCAAGTTTAATTTTAGGATTTTACATATAGTTCTTATTTTGTCCATGATATATTCATTTTTATTTTACATTTACAAGTATTTTTAAAGATCCTCTATAAAGCCTATTTTATATATTGCTATTTTATTATTTCCTCAAATTTAAACCTTTTCTTGATTATCAATTTCTCATCACAGTAATCGCTTGTAAACCACCTTACCCACCGTATCTAAGCGCTCTGCTGCCGCAAGACCAAATCTTCGATCCAGAAGACCTCGATTTCGACCCGAAGAGCCAAATCCTGCAGCAAGTCAAAGACGCGAAGGAGGCGAAGGAAAGGAAACGCGTCAAAATCGAACCCAAAGAGGAAGTGGAAGAAGCCGAAGAAAATCTCAACGACTCCGCTAAAAGCGAGGAAAGCACGACTCCAAAGACTTTCATCGATAACCCGTATTTGGCCGCCACAAAGTTGCCCAGCAAAGAGAATGCTGAGGGATCATGACACCATCCATTGTCGTGAAGTTTTATTATTGGTTATAAGGTAATTCACCATAACTAGAACTCTGATTTTTTATTAATTATAATAATATAATTTTTTTAACACTAATTTATTGTGACTTGTCTATTCATTCTGTTTTGTCTTGTACATATTGAGGTGAATAATATCTAGGTTTATTTAAACAAATAAAAATTCAAAAATAAGCAATTATTTTAATATACATGTAATTGGGGTAATTGGATATAAAAATAATAAAATAAAACTTCCTCCAAAAAAGAAACATTTCTTATATTTCTTGGGTTATTCTACAAAAGTTGGACAACTTGTTGTCATCAGTCAATAGAGTAGGTATTTTAATATTTTTTGTAAATATTTTAGTATATTACAAAAGATCCAGGTTTTTTTAACTTGTCCACCCAATTTTAATGTATTTTTTCAAAAGCACGTTTGTAGAAAAACATAATAAATATTCAAAACATCAGTACCTTGGCGTGTCACAACTCCTGAATCAAATATTTGAGTGATTTTATTTTAAAATATATTCAATTTATCTGAAATTTTTCAATTTAACTACAAACTATAAAACATTAAATAATGTATTTTTCATATTTTATCATAGATTCGAATAATAGCAATTTTTAAAAAATTGATAATCTTTGTACTCACTTTTACCCATCAGTTCTGTGTCCAATGTTAAAATTCAAAATTCCTGCGAAATATTGAAGTTTAAGCGTCAAGTCCTCGTTTTAACTCAAGTGTTGGTAAAAATTACCTAAAGAGCCCGCCCTTTGCACGACAGTCATCTTGAAAACAATGCAAGCGGCGAAGTTGTAGTGAATGCACGTATAGTTCCAGTCAAAATTTCAGTACTGTGGTGAGTAGTTATTTTCTTATGACTATATATTTCATTGTAATTTATATAAGGCTATATGTGATTTGTTGAAAAGTAGCTTCCACTAATAAAAAATATCAGTAAAATACTTAATTCCGAATTATAATATCAAATTTGTATCCCATTCATCAGTACCGTGTCGTCAGTTCCATGTTCGATGTTTCGGTTATCTTTTTTTTCGAAAACTTTAATTTAAATTCTGCTTGCGTAGAACTTGCTTATTTAATGTCATTATAAACTCATAAATTTGGTGTGGGTTCCATATCTAATAATTGCAATTTCGGTATACCTAAAAATCCACCAGCCGCCACTGATGTGTGGTAGGTATTATTTGATTTTAAGATATTTAATGTATAATATGCAATAGTTGCAATAAATCTTATATTTTCCAATAAATTATTATTATTATTTAATTAGTACCCTGGTATACTCGTCACTTCCCTTGCATTTAAATTTAGAAAATACAGATATTTCGGAAACTGTTTGAAAAAGTGACTGGCCCGGTCTGGAATAGTATATTTATTATATTATCTATGTTCTCATAACAAAATACTGTTTAATTTTCACCGAAAACTATATAAACAAAATGAGGTCAAAAGTTGACCAACTTTTGTAGAATCACTCATACATGTAATTGGTTATAAAAATTGTAAAATAAAACTTTCTCCAAAAAAGAAACATTTCATATATTTCTTATATACACAATAAAAAAAACTATCACATATTCAATACCAACAAAAGTACTGAATTGATCACAAAGACTAAACTACATCCCACACTATACCCCTTTGAAACTAACGGTTGAAAAAGCGCGGTGTCTTCTTTTTTGGTGCTCCATCCAATTATTTTTTCTTCCTCCCTTTTGTTTTTACCTTCAAGCCATAAAAGTAGGGGTTCAAAATAATCGAGCATCGGCTCAGGCGATATGGTATCTGTATTGCCCTTTGTCAGGACTCTTATTATGTCTTTCCAGTGTCTGGATTTTCCGGATTTAAGAATGTCCCTAAAATTTAACAATATAATTTGACTTATTAATTTTTTCGACCTTTACTTGATGAAACTATGTAAATATAAAAACAACTATGGTTTGAAAGTTTCACGTAATTTATTTAAATGTTGACAATTCTGAAGCTACTGTGTAGCGAAACAATTGTCAACATTTGTGAAACAATTGTAAAACTTTCAAAACATAGTTATTTCTATATTTACATATATAATTTGACATTTAAAAAAATATTGTTTAAGTTTATTCTTTTTAGAATTTTCTTTAATAAACAATGTTCCTAAAATGCCTTTACAAAATGATAATAACCGAGGTTGAAAGTTTGTTTTCATTTTATTAAATACCTAACTAAATAACTTTGTAAAAAAGGGCGCTGTTTGCGACACATTTTTTTGTGAGTGTACCTTTTTTTCGTTACAAAGATGAAAATGTAATATTTTTAATAAAAACGTGAATACACTTTGACGCAAAAAAGATCCCACTTAACAACCAAAAAAAAAGAAACTTAAAAAAAAAACAAGACTGTAGAAAGAAAAATATTCTTTATTTTATTTTATTTCTGTAACTTTTTCCAAAGAATTTTTGTTTTTCATATTTCACTTTTATTTAATAATAATAATAAAAAAATGTATTTCCAAAAACGACAATTTACCAAATTTTATAGGAAAACGTCTAAAATACAATATAAAATTGTAAACATTTACTTTTTTAAATATATATGCTTTTATGTATAAAAGCAACATTTTATTAACATTTACAACATTTTTAAAATAAATAAGCAATAAACTGTAAATATTTTGAAAATACTTTCAGATATTTGTATGATGTTAAGGAAACATTAATAAAATAATGTATCTAAAACATTTACAAAAATGTTTTAAAAATGTTGTGAAAAAATATTGTATAAATATAAAAAATGGGACATTTAAATGTTATAAAACATTTTAAAGGCATTAAAATGATAATGGCTACTATTTCTAAAATATTTAGGTTATGTAGCAAAAATATTCATTCAATATTTTAAATATATTTTTGTGTTATGTGGAATGTGACCATCTAAACGTGTGCAAAGTGTCGCAGACAGCGCCCTCTATAACCTACATTAATTTTTTTAAGAAATTTAGTTTTCCTGTTCTAAAAAACCCCTGAATGTCAAATTTTATGCAAAAACGTTTGTTTTTTTTCAAATGTATTCAATAAAATCGAAAATGAACTTTCAACTTTAACACCCTGTATTTTGGATATTATCAACTTTTGTATATCGCATTATTTTGGTCTTAGGAACATATGGGGACACCTTGTATACCATCACTTTGGTGAACTTCTGAATCGTTATAGAAAAAAAATTGTAGATTGTAAAACCGACCCTAAAATACTATAGAAAGTCTTCAAAGCATAGATTTTTTTGATTTTGTTTTTCCGTTCTTCGATTAAATTTTTTTGATATTATTTAGCTTATATACTTATATACTTATATATTTTTTTTTACATAAATTTATATCGTTTTTTAATGTTTAAGATTAAAACATAAATGTTAAATTTATGGGTGGTTTTCAAAAAACACCCGCCTTCCGCTGTCCGTAAGTTTGAATTCCAATAACTTTGTTAAAAATTATCGGATCTTATTGATTTAAAAACCAAGTGAAAGCCAAACAAGCCCTTAGTAAACTCTTTCAGAAAATGTTTGTTTAGTTATTTCAAAATAATTTTTTTTTAATTTTGAAACTTGTGAAACACACATTTTCGCATGTCCCAGTAGCGTTTTATAAAACTTACATACATGTTTTTTTTTAATATTGAATAACCAGAACTTTGTGTTTGCTTTATAGCAATCCATAACATCATTAGTAATAAAGTAAACAATTTATATATAAATTAATTAATTTTAATCTACCTTTTTTAAATTTGACTCATGTCCCAGACATTTTTTCCATTGCGTTACGTTAATATTTAAAAAAACATATATATGGCAACTTTTTTGGCACTCACGTGATTAACAAATGATGTTCGGACGTACACATTACCCAGCTGAATTTATTTATTCAATCAGGAATAAGATATCGGTTGAAACAGGTGCGGGTATACGTTATAACGCGAATGTAATATATATACGTTATAACGCGAATGTAATAATTGTTTGTCCGCTAAGTTACTCAAAAAAATAAGAAAAAATACTATTTTTCATGTTTATGTTTATTTTAGGGCACTAAAGCTCATTGAGAGTAATTAATTACTGTAATGTTTTATTATTATTTTTTAAATATGGTTTCACAAAACTTTGTCCACTGCGTTACCGAGTCCATTACGTTACCTTATGGTAACTCAATGGAATTTAGGGTAACGCAATAGAATTTTTTGACAACAAAGTGGATATTTACCGTCGCTTTTATTAAAAGTAGTTTATGGTAAACCAATTTAAAATTATTTGTGATTACAACTCATGATATAGATTACATCCAAGGGAAAATTCCACGCAATATACAAGTACTAAAAGACACCAGCTTATAGTCAAAGAAAAAGGGTGTCTATAATTTAGAAATCTAAGTTGTTATTCTGCAAGTGAGCACCACTACAAGGGATTTTGTTTATGCATTACTCTAAAATCGTACCACCCTATATAGTTTCTTTTTTACGTTATCTGATTACCAATACCAATGTCTATTTCGTTACTTTTTTTAGTTTTTGTTAAAAAAAATCCTTAAAATAATTTTACTATCACTTGGTAATACCTGTTTATAAATTAAAGTTTAACTCTCTAATACAGTGACTAAAAGAAAATATTAATGGTATTGTTTTTTTAACAAAGAATCGGAATGGTGTCTTTTAAAAAGTAACTTATCTAACATAAATATTTAAAAAAGGCATACAATTTTTAATAAAATATAAAATAAAAAATGGAGTCAAAAGTTTATGAACCAAGTACATTTTATTTCAAATTATTTTTATAACAACTTTTTTTATTGAATTAAATTTTGGATTTCAAATTGGTAACACAGTGGAGACATATAAAGCTAGCTAAACACATTTTTCTGAAAAAAACGTAAAAAAAAATTAAAAAGTGCACTGCCTGTCTTAAATGTAAGTAAACAAAACTCTGAACATTTATAAAATCCAACCAAAAGTCAATTTAAGCAAAAAAAAATTTTGATCTTCATTTTCCTGAAAGCGAGTGTTTCTTAAAAATGACCCTTATATTTCATAAAATTTATCTTACATCAAAATCCTGCCTGCCTCCCTCGACCGATAGATGTCGCAAGTGTGCAATGGCCCTCTATGACCCGCAGCGTCGCACATTACATCGTGAACTTGAAATTCCAGCAAAAGCGCCACAAAATACCTGATGTAAGGCATATCGGCTATAACATGTCTTTTGGCCGCCGCGTCCAAATGACTTTCCGTCCTTTTTACCGGCGGCACTATGCCTTGAAATCGCAGCCGCAGTTCCCACCAATCGGCGTTCATTGTTTTTACTCCGTACTCGAAAATTTGGTAACGCCACTAAAAATGTTAAAATTGTTGTACCATAAAATGGAAGGAACGGAAGTTTAAAAATAATTAAAAAAATACTCTCACAGGCAAAATAATCGATCCACACAAATTTTCGATGAATTTCAATCGCAAATAACTTTTTTATTGGATTTCGGATTTAAACAAATATTAAAGAATATTGTAGATAAATTAATGGAGAATCGCTTACATTTTAAAAATTACTAAAAAATACACGTACGTTTATAATATACAATAAACAAAAAGATGTTTTTTACCATAAGTTTAAGACCCTCTGTAGAGTGGCAAAACCGTATATTGTTCTAAATTAAGTTGGAATTATCAAGTCACATCTATTTTTAACAGTTTTGTTTTTGGTTCACCTTGATAAATTTATTTATGAGGAAAATATGGATTTTTTTATAAAAAACATTGCAATTTCCAATATTTTTTCTGTATGAAGAACTTGCTATAGCCTATGGAGGATGACAGTGACAGTTTTGTTGAATCATCCCATACTTGGACATGTCATATACAGCTTTCAAAAGCTATGAGATTGTTTTTAGTAAATTAATGCGTTAATTTTGAGGTGTCTTTTTAGTTTTAAAAATGTCTCCCTTTTTACTTTACTTCTTGTGACGAATAAAACCCTTGCCACGTAATACTGTGACCGTCCATCCTGGATTAAATTAATGGCTCTGGCAACATCATACATATCCATTTTTTAAAGTAAGAAGACAACTCTAAATTTAAACATTAATTTGCAAAAAATAATTTGATAGCTTTTGAAAGCCGTGTATGACATGTCCAAGTATGGGATGATTCAACAAAACTGTCACTGTCATTCTCCATAGCCTATAGATGGACCATGGCAACCTTAGTTCTTCATACAGAAAAATATTGGGAATTGCAATGTTTTTTTTTAATCTATATTTTCCACAAAAATAAATATATCGAGGTGAACCAAAAACAAAACTGTTAAGAATAGATGTGACTTGATAAATAAAACTTAATTTAGAACAATATACGGTTTTGCCACTCTACAGAGTGTCTTAAACTTATGGTAAAAAACATCTTTTTGTTTAAACCTGTATATTATAAACGTACGTCTATTTTTTAGTAATTTTTTAAAATTTGAGCGATTGTCCATTAATTTATCTACAATATTCTTTAATATTCGTTAAAAAACTTATTTGCTATTGAAATTCATCGAAAATTTGTGTGGATCGATTATTTTGCCTGTGAGTGTACATTATAAATACGCTGACTTTATTTTTTTATTTGAAATTTAAAACATTTAATAAAATTGGCAATTAAAGTTGGCATGATGTTTTAAAAAAACTAAAAATCTCTAGATTAAAGCTTACTTGATCAACTAAATAGGCAAAAGGTGCATAGGCAACCTTTTTTAGTGCCATAGACATAAGAAAGTTTATGTTTGTTTCGTAAATATCTGTATTGTTATTGTACAATCCTACTCTGTACAGATGAGTTGGATTATTTACTGACAAACTTATTGCGTTTGCTATCCCCTCATGAAATCCTAAAAAAAATAATTATCAATGAATTATTTTTTAACTTTTTCAATAAATATATTGTAATACATACAGGGTGTACTGTTTTTTCGGTCTTTTGATATTTTACTCACCAGGATTAGCCCCATCTCTATAGAGATACGGTTGGTCAGCATAATATAAATAATATTGAATATGAGCCATTTCGTGATGTACAGTTATCAAATCGTTCATATTTACTTCAGTGCATTGTTTTATCCTAAAATGTAAAATATATTGTCTTTGGGGTTAAACTATCATTTAAACACCAATAAAATAAATTAATCGAAGCTATAGCTATAAAAATGGTATTTGGTGCAGAAAAAAACTTCTAGATTCTAGTTTGAATTGAAAGGTTTTGCACCAAAGACCATATATGTTAGCTACAACAATTTGAAATTTTTATACCTGAAATCAATTTTATTACAAAAATCCCAAGCACTTACTGTGCATTGCACTTTTCTTCCATTAGGACGTTCTAACATAGAATAACGCCAAAATTCTGGTGGCATAGGTTTTAAGCCTAAAGATGTGTAAAATTCTTCTGCCATTTGAAACATCCTGAAACAAATGTAAAACTATCTCGATTTGGTTTTGAACATTATGTTTGCCTTATTATAGTATACTTTTTTTCCATAGGAAGCAGCTGCAGTAAACAAAATTTGGGCTAGAATTGGCCAAAGATTAAGCAAATATTTTATTCGATTTTTGCACAATTTCAATTTGCAATTTGTTTGAATGTAAATATACAGGGTGAATCATTTTACTTGAAACTTTGAAATATCTCAGTTAGTATGCAAAACATGTTTAAAATAAAAATTAAATGATTCGAGGGGGGAAATCAATCAGTACTAAAATTGGTCCTCATACTCTCCTCCTTATAGGGGGAACAGGGGGTAACTTTAAAATTTCCAATTATTACAGATTCGGATCATTTGACAAAAAATAGGTAGATTTTGTCTAAACATTTTTTCATATTTGTAACAGATGGCGCTGTAATGAAAAAAAACAATTTTGTTCGATTTTTCTTCTGTATACGATTCTGCAATAATTTTTCTATAAAAATATCACTTTTTTTGGTAATAATTATCTTATTAAATTAAATCTGATTTTTTTAAGTACCCAGGATTTTTTAACTAATATTGAAGTTTCCTTTCGTTATGTTTTATACATTATTTCATTCGGTGATAATTATCAATTGCGCAACATGGTCACTTTTTACCTGCCAGCATTAAATCCTTTAATTTAAAGGATTATTGTACTATTTTTAATAAAAATACCTCATTTAAGGTAAAACAATACATTTTGTCAATTAATTAATTTAATCCTAATTAAGGTATAAAAAATGGTATTTAGTTATAAATAATAATTATTATTGAGGTATAAAGAAACTATTTATACATAGTTTAGCATTATTTAATCAATTTAGTTCGAAGATTAATTTGCAAACAAAAAACCTTCTTTCGTTCAGCAGTTATTCTAAATGGATTTTTTAACAGTGAAAGAAAAAATTGAAATGATTTTGATTTATGGAGTATACTCCATAAATCAAAATCATTTCAATTTTTTCTTTCACTGTTAAAAAATCCTACTATAGTAGGCAGGAATCTTGATGATGCTGTTAATATCTACGCCCAGCGTTTTCCGGATAAAATTCGATCACGTACTTCATTTCACCGTACAGTCAAGCAGTTTTCTATAAACGGGAGTGTTCAACCGAAAAAAAGAGTTCGTCGAGCAACAGTCACAGGTGTAAATAATGAAATTAATGTATTAGCAGCGACGGCCGCTAATCCTCATGCAAGCACACGAGAATTATCTAGAGATTTGGGAATATCCCAGAGCAGTGTTAGCAGAATATTAAAATGAAATGCGAATTAATAAATGAATTGAAGTCGAAGGCAACCATTTTGAGCACCTACTTAATTAAAATTTTAAAAATAAAACCAAGTATTTTATTCAAAAATTATTGGATAATCGTATACAGAAGAAAAATCAAATCAAATCAAATTTATTTTTTTTCATTACAGCGCCATATATTACAAATATGAAAAAATGTTTTAGACAGGGGGTTCCATTGGAAATTTTAGTACTGACTGATTTAATTTAAACATTTTTTCAAAGTTTTAAGTTAAATGACTCACCCTGTATAATAAGTTTTTATTCAAACTAGAATTTTGTTTTTTGTAAATTAAAAACAGATTTACCTTAAGGGAGTAAATCCTTGCCTTAACATCTCATCTGTGACATCAATTTTCTTATATTCCCTATACGGTATGACAATATCCTCAATATTACTCCAGTCCTGTCCCCAAATATCGCCCAGCAAATGGGCCGGTATCGGCCCATTCGACCTCAACACCCTCGGGCCGTACCTCTTGAAAAGTTGACGTCTCACATAGGTAAAAAGCTCTTTGTATAAAGGTTGAATTTTGTGAAAAGCTTGAGCTATCTCACTTTCAAAGTTTTCATCTTCATAGGCAAAACGCATTTCTTCACCAGCATTTTGGAAACCTCAAAAAAATTACATACAGTTCTTTTTTTATCTGGACTCGTGTTTTTTTGTTAGGTTGGTGGCTTATGCCAGTTTGACTTAGTATGTTTAGTGTTTAAAAATGTTACTTCTGCTAAAGAATTTAATTAAATACTTCAATAATATTTATTATTGATAATTTACTTGTCAATTATAAATAAAAAGATAATTATGCCAAAAATAATAGCAACGAATTCGAATGTAAAAGCCCTTTTAAGGGCAAAACTTCATTTTGATGAAATTATGCCAAATGCCACAATGGACGAAAAAGTACATTGCCTTATGGACAATTTTGGAGTAAAAAAGTAACGAATTTGGTTTTATAAATATTACATCACACATTATTTTCACATTATTCACCATTGGATAACATTTACGTTCACAAAAAAGTTTAATTTCTTTTATATAAATTCTTTTCAAAGCGAAGATTATTATCCGCTAGGAATACTTTCTCTTCTGGGCCGTGAAGCAACCTATATTTAACTACTTTTTTATATGATTTTACTCATCCAAGCACCACCAAAGCCATTTTTAACTACGAATTTCGAAAACTCAACTTGAGAACTGCACAATGTAACCTACAATAATTTATACATAACCACAATTAGATTTATAACTAGCTTAGTTTGTTTTAATCAATGCGACCAACTTGACAACTGTATTTACCAACCAAAACCCTAAATTTGCGACGTTGCCGCAGTCCAGATAAAAAAAATTATTTTTATATTGTAACAAAAAATAAAGCATGTTTCATTAATATTGCGAAAAATATTAGAATAAGATTCCTTACATAAAAAATAAAATATTATTAACTATTTAAAAACAATACTAATTTATCACTCTGTATAACTCAATAAATTTATAAATGCAATACTATTTTTATAGTTATGGGCATTTTAGGTTTTTTTTATTTTATCTACGCTCTAATGTACCTACCATTTAATATTGATGCCTGATTGGCCAAATCAACATATCTCATGAACTTGTTTTTCATTGGCGGGCCAACCTTGTTGTGCCATTCTTGCCAGATGTGCGTGAGTTCGGCATTGCTTCTTGATTTTGCCATGATTCTTTTAACGTCCAAATCTAATTCTAGATCGCAGTATAGCTTGTCGAAGTTATTGTATGGACACGCTCTTACGTGAGCGTAGAGGTCCTTCATTTCGGATATAAGGTGATAAATCTATAAAAGAAAAGAATTTTTTAAGTTAAAAAATGCAATGCAAAATCTCTGATTTAAAGTAGACAGTTATCGGACACTATAGTTATTGGACAAAGTCAAATCATTAGATGGCGCTGTATACAATTATAAATATCTCAGTCGGTAATAATATAGAACTACTTTATTTTGGGTCCAATATATGACAAAAAAGTTCGCACGTTACTTTGGTGGTAAGATTTTTGTTTTTTTGTTAAGAGCAGGGCTGTGTTTAAATTACAATAAAAAATATTTCTAAAAAGTGTACAGATCAGTGTGTGGTATAAATGTGGTCCTCATGGTTTAAACATTTTCACTTTAATGCGTTTTAATTTTAATTCTGAAATCACAAACAGTAAAATGGCCAGTGTCCAATTAATAACTGGTTGGTAAAAAATGTAAATTTCTATTATTGGACATATGTCCAATATCATACTCTATTTGTATCCCGGACATTTACCAGCCAATTCTTATGTAAAATTGTCCCCTGAATCTGAAAAGACCGTCAAAAACTATAAACGTTAAGCAGTTTTTGAGATATAGTCAATTCCATATTATATGTAAAATTGATTATATTTCAAAAACTGTTCTACTTTTATAACTTTTGACGACATTTTCGGATTTAGCGAATAATATTTCATAGGAATTGACTGCTAAATGTCCTAGATACAAATTACTGTTGACGAGAATTATTAGTGGCTGCTTTTTCGCTATGACATTTTTGACTAATTCATTTTTAGAGAGTAAGTAATATAGTGATTTCTTCGTCACAGGACATCTTGCAGAATAACTGTGATTTAAATACAGTGCATGATGGAGAACATAAAAAACTAATGGCAACAAAATTAATAAATTCGAAAAATGCTTTTAACATACCACACGAAAAAATATTAGATATATATAAATCGTACTGTTCCGGTCCAAACATTATAATGCTTCACAAACTATAGATATACCACACTTAATGATATTTGCAACAAACTATTTCAGAAGTCAGAAAAGGGATGACGAATCCGAGAAAGAAATTTATAAATTAAATGATATTTACAAAAACGAAATAAAAAAATTAACTAAAACAGCGATTTATCTTTAAAAAATATTTAACAATTTGTTATTTGATGTAAAGTTGTGTAACAAGATATTTCTGTTTAACTTTTAAAATGATAATTACTTAGTCCTTTAAAAAGGATAAATGAATATTAAGATATAGTTTTGGGAATTTTAATTTTTGTTACAATTCAGAAGTGGGATAGACAGATTCAGACTGGCATTGACCTTAAGCATTCATTATTTTCGTAAACTAAATGTATACGTACTTTGTACTGTTTTGCGCAGTTTTCATTTGTTTTGTTGTATTTTGGCAAAGATATTTGTGATATTACCTGTGTATAATTTGTGTAGAAAGTGCAAGTGACGTTGAAATGGCGCCACCGAGGGGTATGAAAAGAAGGGCAGTAACCCAAGCTAGTCTGATCATGTCAAAATCACAGCGAGACGATGAGAACTCTGGAACATCTGAAGCAAGCAGACCAAGCTCCGATGCTGCCATTGAACCAGTAGATGTTCTTCGTCAGTTTACTGATGTTATGGCTAACTTTTTGGAAACATCACATCATCGTCCAAGCAATGCCAGCACCGGATCTGAAGCCTTGCCTGATTTTGATCCAAGTAAGCCAGATTTTTCTAGCGAAAAGTGGTGTAAGAAGGTAGATGAGTGTAAAACTGTATTTCATTGGACAGAGGAGACTACTATCTTCTTTGCAATTAGAAAATTCAAGGGGATGGCTAATCTTTGGTACAAAAGCTTGCCAACTATGATGCTAACATGGCAGGAGTGGAAAACAAAACTACAGGCGGCATTTCCAAGTCAGACCGATTACCATGCACTGTTGCAACGTATGATGGCTCGTGTAAAGAAACCAGAAGAAAATTATACTACTTATTACTATTGTAAATTGTCCTTATTGAATGAGTTAGAAATAACAGGTAGTAATGCTGTCTCATGTATAATTGGTGGGATTTCTGATGTCGTAATAAGGACGGGTGCGAAGGCTGGCAGTTATCAAATTCCTGAAACGTCATTTTGTTATTTAAGTAGAGTGTCTGATGAATCAGATGGACCTAATGCCGAAGATGAAGATGGAGTGGTTCTGAGCGATTCTGAGGAAGAAGTGCTTCGGGACGAAGCAATATCTCAGGATGGCCGAATGTAACAAGATATTTCTGTTTAACTTTTAAAATGATAATTACTTAGTCCTTTAAAAAGGATAAATGAATATTAAGATATAGTTTTGGGAATTTTAATTTTTGTTACAGTTGTTATGTTTATATAAAAATTATATGTCCAATAACTATGGTCCAAGTGTCCAATTACTATATAAAATGTCCAATTACTATACTTTTGCATGTTTTTATAAAACTAATATTAAAAATTCAAATATTCTTATTTTTAAGTCAACGTAAATAAAGTTTAAACAAACAAACTATCCTTTTTAAATATTTATAAAAAACTACTTACTTCATTAAACTTATCATCTCCCAAACTGGCCCTACTGTTCGTGACTAGCATCCTCAACAGTCTTCTGGCAAGCGGATCTGGAATTCTCGACCAATCAAACTCGACGGCTTTCCTCCACGACACCTTGTCGAATTTCGCTTTCAGCGTTTGCTCGTCGATCATGCGCCGTTTGTTGAAGTCCGTCATGTTGGTTGCGTAGGACCATTGCGCAGTAGTCACTCTGAGACACATCGAGGAGGCTTCGCTATCGTATTCCCGCAGAAACTGGAGTGCCTCGCCCAGGTTGATGTTGTTTCCCTAAAAAAGAATCATAGGTAGGTACATATTTTTAAGTGGAAATATATTTTAGAAGATTGGAAATAAATTTTAGAATGTAGGTAAAAACACATTTTTTAGAATGCTAAATCAAAATTTACAATACAAAACCATATTTAAGAAAATTAAACTTCTTTAAGAATTTTAGGATTTTAAAATGCTAAAATCAATTTCAAAAGGCTTAGAAATATTAATATTAAACCTTGAAGAAGATTGCCGCAATATAAAACATACACAATTGGGTTATGTTCGCAGTTTGCAATGTGTTCTGGTAAAGTAAATTTGCATTAGAAGGTATGAAAACGAAAATTACGGCTTAAAGCCTCTGAAAAGAGTGTAACCTTACGGTTTGGATTTTATTACTTACTTTTTTGTTTCACAAGAAATTGTGCTTTACCCTATTTTTGTTTCACAAGAAATTGTGCTTTAACCTTTTTTTTATTATATAATGTATAGTACGGTTCAGTGTTGAGCATTGTAATCGTAGTTTTGTGAATTTGCCTTGCTCTTGGTTATTTTGTTTTGCTTCCTTAGGATTTGATAGTTCCTAATGACAACTAAAACATTATTAATTCTTGAAACTTTATTAAACAACATCAACAACAATACAAATATGTAATAACCTTGTCATTCGTCCAGCATAACCTAAAAGTAATAGAATTTAATAATAGTTGGCTTACGTTATAAACTTGGTTTGTGATATATATTTTTTGGACAATGTGCCTAACTTACCTTTGTTTTATTGCTTTTGGATGTCTTAAATAATGAATGTTTGACTTTGCAATCTTAGTTCAAAAGTTGTTGGCGGGATCAGCAGTTAGTGCTGCTTATGATACCTAAAAACAAAAAGCGTGTTTATTAATGTAGCCTTCATCTTTTAGAACTGTGGTGGTAGAGTTATTCAATTATTAATTGTTTACTTACTTTAAACGGGTTGACATTTGTATTGACGTAAAGGTAGATCGAATTGATCGCACTAGGCGGCGTTTTATCGCGGGGTTGCCAAGTGTATCGCTCAGCAATGTACGGAGCAACACTGTTCATATATCCGGCACCTGTTGTAGTTGCTTTCCTATTGGTTTAATTTTCGTGCCTAATTTGAATTTAAGATCTTTTGTCAAGCCTTTTTACCGCTATATGTTGTTTAATATCGGGAGTTTTTATTGTTGTCAGATTTTTAGTAATTGTCTTTTTTATTTGACATGGTTAGTTTCAATTTAAGAGCATATTTTGACATTTTGGGATGGTTGTGCGCAGGTCTGGTTTTCGAAGGGGGACAAAGTAATGTAGAAGCCGGAAGCAGGTTTGTCTTGTGATGGTTTTCCAGAGAATAACATGGTCGATTTTTCGCTCTGCCAAGTGAAACCTTATTAAAGGGATATAAGACATGTTTATTCATATTAGGAACCGTGCAATGTTGTTTGTTGGCAATTGATGGTATTTTGAGTGCCGGATCCTATCGATGTATTTCGGATATAACTGGATTTAACTTCACCTGACCAAACTTTGCTGGATCTACACCAATCCGCTTCTGGCATGATTTGGAGATAATTAAGATCTATTTCCTACGAAGACAAAACCCTTCTCGAAGGTAAGGTTAGTTTCTTCATCCAAGATGCAAATTCTTATGCTCATTTTTCTTTAAGGGTTTTTTTTTTTTTAATTATGGTTTTTATCAAGGATTTTAATTCTGGGCCTAGAGCCTCAGTCTAAGTCTCAAGCAAGTTTATTGTATCAAGTATAAAGATCAAATTGTTTTAAGTTACACCTCCTGTGTCACCCACGATCACCAGGATATTAGATATTGGATACCGTACAAGGATGGACTGACGTACAATTCTTACCGGAAAAGCTCCACGTACACCAATTTTGTATTACAAAGTACATAACTAAGGTCAGATCCATTTCTTTCACTAACAATTAGGTCCTGGTAGAAAATTTAATCATATTTAATATAAACTTCGAATAGTGTGAACTGCGGGTACATTGGCCAATATACACGAAGGGTTTTTAACATCAAACTGTAATACCAGGGTACTTTTAAATAACTTGTACTTTAAAATAACTTATCTTGAGATCTGATTTAAGTATTTTTTTTATACTGTGTAACTTCGTGTAAAATACACTTCAATTTTTTTTAGTAATTTCTTTTATTCTAATCTCACAAAAAAATTACTTGGTGCCCAATTCTAAAAAATTTATAAGGTAAGTAGTAGTTACGAAGGACATTCACCCACGACCATCTGAGCTAGCGGGATTTTGTGGTTCAGAGTCTACGTTAGGGATTCTGCGCTATAAATTTGGCGCCCAAACGTTCTTCGTGATTGCTACTGACTTTTTGTTTGTAAAAAAATTTTTTTAATTTAGATTTTTTTTGAATATTAGTTTTTAAATTCTAAAACCCAAATACTTTTGTCTAAGCAACACGGGTTGCTTAATTTTTTTGGAAGGGGGTGATTTTGAATTTGGATACATTTAATGAAAGTGATTTTTTTTATAAGCATTGTTTACAAATAATTATTGAATACCAGCTGCAATTTCTCGAGACGTTAAACTGCGTTATTTTATGTTATGTGTATCTATGGTATCCGGGTATGCATTGATGGCATTTCCATGGGTATATCTTGAGGTACAAATTGGCTACACTTATCTTAGGTAACGTTTTTTTTTGCCGTATACTTTATTGTTTTTAGTAACGTTACGACGCCACGCGTCGGAATTAGAATTTAATTATTTAAGAACATAAAGATACGACAAAAACGTTGTTTACCACTACTGCGTAAGTTTTTTTGAATTTACAAATTATTTGTAGACTTGTTTACTTTATTGTTTTTTGTTTAACTTTGATTCTTTGCTACTTTGTTTACTTTCTTTTATTTGAAACGTCACGACGTCAGGCGTCGTGTTATTGTTTATTCGCGTAATTATTTTGAATTAAATTTACAATATTGTCCTGTATTAACGTAGTGGCTTAATGATTTGATATTTTTTTTGAGATTTGTTTGATTAAAGCGTTGCGGAATGTTAGTTAAATTTTAGATTTGCGTCCTTGGGTAGATATTTGATTAGATGTTGGATTTGCTAGATATTGGTAATTGATTAATCATTTCGCAACTTTTGTTTCTGGTTAGTTATTCATCGTTGCCATTGTTTTTATTTGTAGCGTAACGATCAGGCCGATGATTACTCCTCAAGTAATCGTCGCTACGGTATGCTCGGCCAAGCCGTATCGCCTGTAACCACCAACCCTACGACATCATTTGTTTTTTTATCGGATGTGGGATGGCGAGACGCGGAGAGCCTGCTCTTTTGGCGGAAGACTTCTACCAGGGTGTCATGAGCGTATGTAAATTTTTGGTTAGTTGAAGTACGCCGATCTTGTTGAGATGGGTGCTTGGACGACCGTGGTAGACTTCTTCCGGTGATTCTGCTGGTCTCTTTGTTGCTGTCGTTTCCATAGCCGTTAAGGCAGCAATTTGAGGTAACTGTCCGGGTTGTATGGTCGTGCTTGTGATGGGCGCGGGGAGATTTTCCTTGCTATTCGGGTGCTCGGCGTGGAAGCATTTGGGGTCCCACCCTTGTTGCCTATCGGGTTAATTGTGCGTTTTCTGGGGGGTCCAAATATTAGGCGGAGTAGACCGCCGGCGCGCTGCACAACATCTCAGAGCGATGGCTGCTCCGACCCCATGTCGAGTTTCGAACGGGATGGGAGGGTTTCTTCGTGTCATCATTTCTCGACCAGGAACTGTAATACCTATTTTTTTTGTCTATGTTTTCTTGAGAAAATTTCAGGAAATTTTCTTAAGGTTGGGGGGGAATTGTAACCTTACGGTTTGGATTTTATTACTTACTTTTTTGTTTCACAAGAAATTGTGCTTTACCCTATTTTTGTTTCACAAGAAATTGTGCTTTAACCTTTTTTTTATTATATAATGTATAGTACGGTTCAGTGTTGAGCATTGTAATCGTAGTTTTGTGAATTTGCCTTGCTCTTGGTTATTTTGTTTTGCTTCCTTAGGATTTGATAGTTCCTAATGACAACTAAAACATTATTAATTCTTGAAACTTTATTAAACAACATCAACAACAATACAAATATGTAATAACCTTGTCATTCGTCCAGCATAACCTAAAAGTAATAGAATTTAATAATAGTTGGCTTACGTTATAAACTTGGTTTGTGATATATATTTTTTGGACAATGTGCCTAACTTACCTTTGTTTTATTGCTTTTGGATGTCTTAAATAATGAATGTTTGACTTTGCAATCTTAGTTCAAAAGTTGTTGGCGGGATCAGCAGTTAGTGCTGCTTATGATACCTAAAAACAAAAAGCGTGTTTATTAATGTAGCCTTCATCTTTTAGAACTGTGGTGGTAGAGTTATTCAATTATTAATTGTTTACTTACTTTAAACGGGTTGACATTTGTATTGACGTAAAGGTAGATCGAATTGATCGCACTAGGCGGCGTTTTATCGCGGGGTTGCCAAGTGTATCGCTCAGCAATGTACGGAGCAACACTGTTCATATATCCGGCACCTGTTGTAGTTGCTTTCCTATTGGTTTAATTTTCGTGCCTAATTTGAATTTAAGATCTTTTGTCAAGCCTTTTTACCGCTATATGTTGTTTAATATCGGGAGTTTTTATTGTTGTCAGATTTTTAGTAATTGTCTTTTTTATTTGACATGGTTAGTTTCAATTTAAGAGCATATTTTGACATTTTGGGATGGTTGTGCGCAGGTCTGGTTTTCGAAGGGGGACAAAGTAATGTAGAAGCCGGAAGCAGGTTTGTCTTGTGATGGTTTTCCAGAGAATAACATGGTCGATTTTTCGCTCTGCCAAGTGAAACCTTATTAAAGGGATATAAGACATGTTTATTCATATTAGGAACCGTGCAATGTTGTTTGTTGGCAATTGATGGTATTTTGAGTGCCGGATCCTATCGATGTATTTCGGATATAACTGGATTTAACTTCACCTG